TCCCTCTCGCCGCGCTTTGCCATCAATTGCCCACCCGTGCCAGGAGCAGGAGACTGCGAGGCGCCTCTGAAGATAATTTGGGTGGCTGGCTCCGTGACAATGCCCGCTTCTTCCAGGGACAGGTTGCAGGCCGCACCACTGCGCAGCTGCAGCACATCGGCCATGCTGTACTGCCGCCGCGGGGCCACCACCGCCCCTGCCGCCGGCTCGATCGCCATCGCTGGCATCAGGGGGGCGGAGGGCAGAAGGAGACGCAAGCTGCAAGATGCAATGCCAAGAAGTGGAACTGGTGCTGCACCAACAATCTGCGTGCTGTACATCAAGCCCTCTCCAACTGGTTAGGATTAGAAACATGGTTCCGCACTGAAGAAGGACTCTGAAATTTGCTCATCGAACGGTTCCCGTTTTTTAGCAGACTGTCTCGACGGTTCGATGTACCGTATGACGAACCTACCACCCGGCAAGGTTCTGAGCTTCTACGTGTGTGTAACCCCTGTGTTAAACCGGCCTGGGGCCAAGAAGGCAAGGGGAATGCGTGTAGATCACTAGCTGTAGCCTTAGGCTAATAGGGGCCGCAGAATGGCGCTGGAGGCGCTTTCCAGCTTCGAGGAGTGGCTTGAGGTGAGGGACCTCATCCCAGGCTTGCACAGTACCCTGGTCCAGCTTGCGTGTCACCTGTTTCCAGCCTCCTCTCCTGTGCTGGCGCCTGCCCTGGCTGGTGGTCCAGCTGATCGCCCCTGTGTGCGCTGCAGAAGCATGGGGCGGAGCTGCGAGGTGCGCACATCCGCCTCAGTGCAGACAACCCCGAGTGGGGCCTGGGAGTGTACACGGCCCAGCACGAGCCCAGCGCTGACGATGGTGGGGCCTCCCTGCCCCCCCGGTTGCCACATTGCTCTGGTGACTGTCCCCTGAAGCACAACGGTTGGAAACAGGCTCCCGCTTGGCTTGCCTCATTCCCTCCAAGCTGGCAACAGATGTCGCATTCCCTCAGTTTGGCCTACGATCACCGCCCAATGCCTCTTCCCCCTGCAGGGGTGCTGTGCCGCATCCCCCTCGCTGGCCTGGCCTTGACCGTCCAGACGTGCCTGGAGGACCCGCAGCTGGGCGACTTCTTTGGGGGCCTATTGGCTGAGGGGGAGGGCGACGGGCGGCTGTGCCTCATGCTCTTTCTCGTGGTGCACAAGGCACTCGGCCCGCGCTCCGCCTGGGCGCCGTATCCACACATCCCGCGCTTTGTGTGGATATGGGTGCGGGGTATGGGCCTTATTCGGTCGCTCTTTGAGAACACCAACGTAGTAGAGAGTATGTGACCCACTGCAGCCCCCACACCACAGCCCTGCAAGCCATGAGCTCTTGCAATCACGTGCCGGGGGCGATCACGCTTAGGGCCCCTTGCCCCGAGTAGCCGTTTACTCGTGCCCCCTTGACCACATTCACCTATCAGCTACTTGGCGGTGCTCCCGCGTCCGCGCGAGTGCCCTGTCCCGCTCACCTGGACGGACCACGAGCTGCAGGCGCTGCGCGGGACTCCCCTCCTGGCCGCCACCCTGAGCATGCGGCGCCAGCTGCAGGTGCGGCCCTGGCCCCAACCACGCCGTGTCCCCAGTGCATGTGGCTGTGGGGTGCCAGCCGGGTCCTAGAAGTGCGACGCTTGTCAGCCAAGCTTGCGGGCCTCTGTCTGCTGACAGGACAGCCTGCCCTGCTGCTCACACAGGAGTTATGGGGCCCATGCTAAGACCAGTCCCACAGTAGACAACCTACGGACTGCCACTACAGGGCCTCCTTCTCGTCAATTGTATCTCCCGTTTGCGAGCCCCATCCCTTCGTTCTCAGAAGTCGCTCTATGCTCCGTGCAGGCGTTGTGGGACAGCAAGGTGCAGGCCCTGCTGCACGCCGCCTTCCAGCGAGTGGGCGTCAGCGCAGCCCCCTCCTGGCACGACTGGGTGTGGAGCCACGTGGTGGTGTGGAGCAGGCTGCTCGAGTGGCCTGCCCCGACCCCGGACGGCACCCCTGACGACAACATGCAGGAGGGGCTGCTGCCGTTCATCGACTTCTGCAACCATGGTGAGGAACACAGGGCACCCCCGCAGGCGGCCCAGGTTGCGGCGTAGCTTCAACATTGGACAGTTGCTGCAAAGTTGTCAGCCTCCTTCTCGAAGCTCCACTTTCCACTCCCTTCCATTGCCAGCCAGTGTCTTTCACTTGGCCCGAGTGTTTAACGTGTCCTCTGCTCTGCGCAGCCTCTGCCTCCCCTGTTGTGCGGGTGGCAGTTGATGACGCCATGGTGCTGGTCGCAGCAGCGCCGCTGCCCCCTGCGACGCAGGTGTGCATCTCCTACGGAGATAAGAGCAACGAGGTGAGACCCGCTTTTTGGCCATGTCCTGCAAGGCAGACTCGATTGGAAGTTGTTCCAACCATACTCACGTTTCACTCCAGCACAGTGATTGACCTCTTCTTACAGGAGCGTGCAATTGAGTGGTCACGATTGAACTGCATCGCCCAGTCCTTTGTGCCGTTTTGTCTCAATGTTGCAAGTGGACGTTCCCTCAACCGGCTACTTCCTGAACGCCGGTCCCCTAGCCCTGTCGCTGATGCGACCTTATGTGCAGGAGTTGTTGTTCCTGTACGGCTTCGCCCTCCCTGCCAATCCGCACGACCGCCTCCTCTTGCACGCCCCGCCCTCTGCGCTAGAACCCTTTGGCGCTCTGCCTGAGCGGCTGGCCCTCCTCCGCAGCCGGGTGAGGCCCCGCCCCGCCCATACTTGGCGCTTGCTGCAGCTTGATCGTACTTGGGCGCCTGCTGCCTGCCTCGCCTCCTGCCAGTGCCGCCGTCACCCTGTGCCTCGACGCCGTTATGGGCACTCCGCTCGCCCCCCGGCCTCGCTAACTGCGTTCCTGCCTGCAGGGCCTCTCCCTGCGCTGGCTGCTCCCGGACCTGGACGAGGAGCCCCAGGCGGCGGTGCACTCGTGGCAGGCTGCGCTCGCGGCAGCGCGGGTAGTGACGATGCCCGCAGCGGAGGCGGAACAGGCCGCAGCCCAGGAAGAGAGGGCGGTGAGTGCGTTCGCCCCTCCCAACGGGGCTGCTATTCGAGATGCCACATCACACTTGCGCGATGACTTCAGAAATTGAGAGATCTCAGGAACGCATATGTTGAGTTGCACATTCGGTCCGTTGCCATTGAGGCTTGTTTGGATGAACAGTGCACCCTCGAGGGCCGCAATGGGAACCGCGGTGCCTTATTTGCACGGATGGATCACGTGGACCGTCTCCCTCTTGCCGCAGGACATGTCTCCGGTAGAGGCGCCGGTGGGTGAGGTGGCGGCATCGTCTGATGCTGCTGAGACGGCCCACGAGGACGCGGTGCGCTGGTTGGCCGAGCTGCTGAAGGCGAGGCTGCGGGCACTGGACGGCGCCGACGAGCCGGAGGACGTAGCAGGCGCCGGCTGGGGGAGCCTGCGGGACGAGGATGAGATTGAGAAGGGGGAAGCGGATGGCCCGGGAACAGGGGGCATGCGGGCCGCGCAGGGGGTGGAGGCGGGGTCCGACATTCGGGCTGGATACTGCGACTACTATCGTGCATCGGAACGAAGACTGTGCGAAGATTATCTGGATCTAGCGTCACAGTTGCTCGAGCCAACGCCCTTTGTTATGGATAGGTGAACGAGTCTATCTCTGCGGTGTGGCCTTCTGGAAGAGGCTTCTGGCCTCAGGGGGACACAGCCTCCATGCGCCGGCTCAGATTTTCGAACCAGACTAAACCAACAGGCACTCGATGAAAGCAATGTCCGTTGACGATTCAGACCCTTATTGAGAGCCATAGCAATGTGGCCACCGTGGCACCTGTAGACACGTTGTAAGCATGTGCATTGCAAGATTTTGAGGTCTGAATTCATGGTGGTCGAGTATGGCGGCTTTAATAATACCTGAAGAGTTCTTGATGCAGTGACGAATACATCAGATCGGTCACTCGCTAAGCTACTAGCTTGGCGGCAGATCATCATGCTATAGAGCCTTATGTGTAGCGTCTCATGAGCTAGCTCGCTACATGCAATGGGACCATGTCGGATCGCGTGCAGACATGAAGACGCAATCGAGACCGGCCAGACGGAAGTTTATAGGCACTGCAGTGTTGTGGATGGCCATCAAGTTCAAAATGCGAACCACCTATTTCAGATAAACTATTGACATCAGAAACGACGACTTCCCTACTGCACCATGGCCCAATTGCTGAGGCGAGTGAATGCAGATTGCCTTGACACGGGGGATTATGACACAGACCAATGACATGCGCCATGCAAGTACAAGAGATCAGTTGTTTAAGCGAGCTTTTGCTCAGCGTACCTACTTCACCAGTCAAGAGTTATGTACAACATGCAAACACTCCTGATAAAGGCTTTCTAAGTTCTAGACCTTGATCTGCTCGTTTGCTGGCAAAGCTCCAGGCGTGTCAACGTGCGCACTGCAGGAGCGCGCTACGCTCTCAAACAGCTTCTCAATCTCTGGTGCACAGCGGCAGAACGAGTGGCTCCAGAAATTGTATCTCGGGTTCTTGATGAGCTCAATGAAGGTGATGAGCAACCCCCAGGGGTGAGGCCTGTTCACGATGAGCCTCTCTAAGAGGACCCGCGTGATCTGCTCCTGCACGACCTCCTGCGTGGCCTCGGCGAAGAGGTAGAGCAGAACGCACGAGAAATAGTGGGTGTGGTTGTTGGGGTACCGCAGCTGGTTGGCGATGGCGTTCAGGAAGAGGTAGCGGCCCTCGGTGTCCAGCTCCACCACCAGCCGCTGGAAGATGTCCATGGGCGCACTGTGGGTGATGGGCGCCGTAGGAACCGCGAGCTGCTGGGGCGCCTTACTCTGCAGCTGCTGCAGCGCCTGCACAACAAGGAGGAGCCCTCTGGTGAGGCCTTCGAGCGCGATGAAGGGCTTCAATCCGAGAACAGAAGTACGCCCCGTAAGCGGAAACAGATCTTTACAGCAGCAGTAGCGCTGTGACAAGTTCTGCAATGACAGTTTCGGATGCTGTTGCCCAGTGGACGCCAATGCACCTTCCGGTCACAGTCCGCTTGACAGCTTCCCGGCATCGCGTCAGCACAGGGGCACAGGGGTCAACTGACCTGCATCCCGACATAGAGGACCAGGCAGTTGATGAGCGGCACGTTGTAGCGCGTCCCTCGCAGGGCAGCTTCTTGCGGGCTGGCCAGCAGCTTGTGCGCAAGGTCGTTCAGGAACGACTGCGGCTGCCGATTCTGCATGGCACAACAAAGAGAGCTGCCTCAGACACCGGACAACGTCACTTTCGGATACCAAATGCAAGGATTACAAAATGCTAGAAAACTTTGAAAGGACACCAAACGAGGCCTTGTGCTCAGCACCTTCCTGGCTGCATAAGCAGAGGCAGACTGCGATCGCTCGTTGGGCACTTGGCCTCCTTTGAAGGTGGGTCCCCCCTTGGCTCTATGTCATGCGGCGACGCTCACTTTGAGATACTCGTCCACCTCCTGCTTCAGAGGCTTCCCCCGGAACGCCACCTCGACATCGGACAGGATGCGCGGCGCCTGACTGATCTCAGGCAACAAGTCCACCTGCGCACCACCCGAGCGTCAGAAGACAGCCACTGCGGGGAAAATCTGCATAAGGTCGATCCCATCTGAACAACGGAGCAGGTGCAGCACACCACAGCATAGCGTACTGCAACAGTAAGGGAAGTTGCGGCAAGTGTGGCTCTGAAGTAGAGCTGGGGTCACCTTGAGGTTTGGAGTGAAGGGGTCGGGCAGGCGCATGTTGCGGGGGAAGGCGCTGAGGATGAGGTTCCGCATCTGGATGCAGCTGGCCGGGATGACGTTGCAGAAGCTGAAGTGGTGGTCGCACAGGAACTCGGGGAAGTCGTGCAGCAGGACCAGCAGGACGCGCAGAGTGCCCTTGTACAGCAGACGAACCTGCGACCAGCAAGGGCCCCGAGCTGAAAGGGACGCCTCACCAGGAAAAAAAAGCGACAAGAAACGGACGCCGGTCCTTCATTGAAGCACGTCTTGCAAGGACAATCGTCGGTCCCGCCCAAGAACGAGCTGCAAAGGGACAGCGAAGCTTGTCCTTCAGCGGATTGTCAGCAGCCAGGCACGCAATGCGGAGCTCACCGAGTCTGTGAGCTCGGCGTTTCCCAGGTAGGGCTCCATGAAGGCGAAGAGCGCGAGGAGCAGGCGCTGGAAGAGCGGCCAGCCCTTAGGGGCCGTGACCAGCAGCAGCTTGGGCATGAGCATGCGGTGGCTCATCAGCTCCAGCCACGCAAAGCTGAAGCTCGGCACGCGCAGCGGCTGCAGCGACAGGAGGGCACTGCCGAACGCACTCAGGACCTGAAATACATGGAACGGATATAGCGTCAGTACCGAACGAGAGACAGTTCACGCTTCAATATCCATTTTCCCAAGAACAGACCGTTTTCAAGATTGCCCTGCAATCGTGACTCAAACATTGCAGCTGATGCTCGCACCTGCAGGTTGTTGGTGTCCATGCCGCCCGCGTCCAGCACGTTGAGGTCCATGAGCCAGGTGACGAGCAGGCGGAAGTAGGGGCGGGCGTTGAACGCCGCAGCCTTGTCGGCAGCATCACGCTGGATAATCCTCACTGTCACCGCCAGCACCTTCTGGAGCAGGTTGAAGTGAACGCCAAAGGTACCACTGGCAGGGTCCGGGTAATACTGCACGCACCGAGGCAGGCAATCAGGAGCAGCCCGCACAGCCAAGCACAAGATGGGTGTCTCGAGGCGAGAACCACTGAAATTGGTGCCTCAAAGATCTTGCAGTCAACACCAATGTTGGCGAATCACCCAATGCTAGCGCCATGCAGCAACCGCAGGTCGGTTCCTGCGTTTCTTACCTTGATCAGCATGAGTGGCAGCTTGGCATAGAGGTCGATGGCAGTGAAGGACACGCCGGAGGGGGACGACGCTTCGGTCCCCAAGCTGTGGCCCACAGCCAGCTCCTGGAAAAGACGGATGAATGCCAACATGGTCGGGGAGTGCAAAATATTTTGAAGACGTGGGACAAAAGAGCGCTGCACCGAGCTACTTCAATTGCAGAGGGGCTCACAAGCGGATTGGGGGAAGAGAGGAAACAGGCAAGCTAACGGTGCATCTGACTCACCGTAAGTATCCGGAAGAATCGTTCGCAAGTCTCGTCGTTCTTGAGCACGCCGGCTTGTTGGAGGAGCTGGAAGTAAGCGGGATACGCCTTCTCTGGCGTGCCAGATGCTTCACATGCTCGCACCCACTCATCGAAAAGGCCCGCCACCTGAAAAGATGTGCGTCCATTGTAAGAAAAAAAACAGATATAGAATACTCATAAGTGTTGGAGGCATGTTGGAACTTGGGAGGCAATTGCATCTTGCAGGTTGACCACGAGGGTGAAAACTGAACCGTGAAGCCAGAAGGGACAAGCTGTGCATCCGAGTTGGCAAACTCATTAAGCACAAGAGCTGGGCCATCTATCCAACTCGATTATCGACCTGGCAAACCAAGCAACATCCCTGCATGAGAAAGTCACCTGTTCTCGAAGACCGGGAGGATCGGCCGTCACAGGCTCCCGAGAGATCAGCTTGTCCTCCTCCTTGGCAGCTGCGTGAAGCTCGCCCACCTGCACAAGAGTTCAGCGTTGGGTTTCATCCAAGGGCTCAAAAGTTGCACAGTGAACGCCCCAGGAAACAAAGCTTCGTGACTGCAATCCAATTCCGGGCAGCTTTCGCCTTACAAAACTGGCCATCCGCAATACACTCTCCTGCCCCTCACCTTCTTCTCCCTTACTGCCTTGCGCCTCTCCTCCCTTGCAGCAGCCGCAGCAGCAGAAGCAGCTGGAGAGCGCGCTCGATCTACTAGCTGCTGCAGCTCCGGGGGGGCACCAGCACGCTGAGCAATCTGCAACGCAAGCGGAGAGTCAAGGGCTGCAGACAGGCCGATTGGCAAGCGAGGACACAAAAATGCATGGCTGTCAATAGAGAAGGCAACATGGTAAGGATGGCCCCTGGACCATGTGAATACAGACAGCATGCGTTCTCCTTGCTCAGATTTCTCACCTTCGCCAGGGCGTCGATGATGCTATAGAGCTCCGTGGCATCCACTGAGGGATCTTGGACCACCAGCGTCTTGACCAGGTAGATGGCAAAATCAGTCGCAGCCGCTGCAAACACCAGACTTGGGTATGAGGATACATCTCACAGCGGGAGACGACTAATGCTTCAGTCAAGCAGAATCCTGCGCTCCCAGATGCACAACTCCTGAGACTCCGACAGAGAAGCAGTCGCTCACCATTCCGCCCTCCATCCATGAGCTCCGTCAGGTGCAGATTGTAGTCCGCGGTGTGCAGCAGCTCAGATTGGAGCAGTCCCGAGATCACCTCCTTGTTGAGCTTCCGCTCATCATCCGCAAACCTGACCTGCAAGAAACCCAAAAACAACAAGCTGTAAGAACTACAATTCTCTCCCCTACTTTCGAACCTGCAAGCCACATGCTGGATCAACACCTTTGCGGAATGGTACGGTGTGAAGAGACTGCTTGAAGTACAAAGCAATCGTTGAGTCAACATGCAGCAAGCTGTGCAAATGCCTTCAGATATGACAAAGAGAAGGACGAAGCTCAGCTATCGAACAAGCTTCCGTGGGGACTATCCTTACCCAGCCGGCGAGCTCTTTTGTCAAGCGCGGTGTGATGTCCTTAAGCCCCTCGAGCATGGCCAGATAGGCTGTGAAATGCAGCCGCTTGCCCACCGACTCATACAGCAGCTTCACCACCTTCTGAGCGATGCCCAGAGCAGCCTCTTCTCGCTTGACACACTTGGACACGATTGCTGGCACCTCGTTCACGACCGACACCAGGGCATCGTCGGGAGACAGGCTCGTATACGACTGCTCAGGACGCTGGACAGCAATGGAGTCGAGTTTTGCCATAGCGATCTGATACTTCTCGAGGACTTCCTGGGGGCTCAGGAGCTGGCCACTCGGCTCTGCAGGACCCGCGGCTGTGCCCCTCTCCAGGTCTCCAGCCCCCACTTCGGGAGACGCCTGGTCTGCCGGCTTACTGATGCTCTCCAGGGGCCTGCAGGAACACATACTGTCTCAGAAAGCCGAATCGAGCACGGGAGAGATACTGATTCGAGGACATAGACAATCTCGAACAGAGATCCTGCAGACCTTTTCAAAAAAAAAAGCCATGACAACACTTCTGTAATGGTGGCTTGCTTCTTGGGCTTTCCGGACTTACCCGGCTGCCAGGATGTTCCGCTCCAGCTCATCCGCCAGCCCTATGCCAGGCTGCTGACTGCCCAGCCCCGGAAATGGGGAAGCAGCGAGTGATGCGACGGCAGGAGGGGGCCCACCACTGAAGGACGGGCGCGGGCCAGAGGCAATGGGTCCGGGAGAAGGGCTAGTGCTGGAGGGAGCGGGACTGCTTACAGCCTGCTGATTCTGCCAGGGCAGGCGGGAGAAGTCCTGCAAAGGAATTTTTGGTAAGTCGCAATTAGCACCACTCTCCTTGCAAACGTTCGGTGACACTCTATCGTTGTCACAGTTCCATTTCTAAGCTTCCTCTCCACTTGGTGAGTCTCGGAGATCAGAAACTAAAGGCCAGTTTCCAAGCGAGAGATGGCAAAAATGGACACTGAAGAAGCAGCCAAAAGTTTCTTCAACGACAGCCGGGCATGCTTCAGCACGTACCTCATAAACCCGCTGTTGCATCGTGGACAACCGACCAGGCTTGGGCCTGAGCGCCTCTGGCAGGCGCGCAAGGTTAGTCTGGGACATTAGGGTGGCTTCAAAGAAGGTGGGCCCCAGGGCTTCTCTCTGCTTGCGCCGCAGATTCAGGGAGGGTTTCAAACTCTCTTCCAAATCTCGCAGCGCCTTCTCAGTGGCGGCTTTCTCCACAACAGCGCAGGCCAGGTCCAGGTTGTCATTCGTGATCAGTTGCACTGCTTGCTCCAAGATGTCAGCGTTCAGATTTGCCGCCGCCTGGAGGAGGGTGCGCAAATGACTGGCCAGCGCCACACGCAGAGGCTCCTGCACGGCGACAAAGTATCAGAAGACACGCCTCAAAGATTGCAGCTTCTATCTCGGCCAACAAACACTCGAGCCTAATCGTTCAATAAGATAGAAAAACTCGTCTGTTGCCCTGAGTATCAATCCGCACTCGAAATCCATGAATTGAAAACCCCTAGATCAAGGAGCAGGACCAACACGTTCTCAACTGAACGGACAACAACTGCAACCCCTTCATACGTCAGTCTACAGCAAACCAAAGTAGATAAGCCCTGCAGATCATCAGAGTCCCAACGACTAGAGCTTCGAAAAACTCACTTTGCATGTAACATGTGCCAAGCTCCCCGCTAAGCTCGCGACCATCAAATTGGCAGCCTTGTGCGTCCGGTTCTCCTCAGCTTCGAGGGCATAGTCCTTCAGAACCAGTTCCCTGGTGGTCATGCAGGCAATGGTGACACTGCGATCCACCACCGGCGTGATGATCTCAACGATTGCCCTCTCCATCGCTAAGGACACCACCCGGGGCAACTGAAGCTGGTGCGTAAGGCCGGCCAGCTTTGAGTTGTAGACGATGTAGGCGCTCAAGTTGGGGATGGACAGGGACCCTTGACCAGCGAACGTGCTTGGGGAGGGGGTCGAGGCTGCAGCCTGATTGGAGCCGGCCTTCTCAGCAGGGGCTCTCTCCTCGCTGAGAGGCTGCGCCGGGGGGGCGAGTGGGGTTGACGGCTTGGGGGGCAAAGGCTGAGAGCTGGGGGCTTCGGGGGGGGTGCTGAGGACCTGTTCCTTCGTTGGAGGGGTCGGGGGCTTTGGAGGTGTTTTCGGAGGGGTTGGGGCGGGCTCTGCCATCGCCGCTAGCGCCTTGGCAGCTGCCAGGCCCTTGTTCGAGAAGTCCTGGTTGCCTTCAAGGTCTCGACGCCGTCCTTGAAGCAGCTGCGTGGGCTTCACATCCTTCAGCTCCAGATGCAGGTTTTTGAAGAGAACCTCGATATCGAATTTGAGGTTCATCTTCAGGTCGGGGAGGGAGTAGATCTCGGCTAGCAGGCTCAAAATGCCCATTGTCCAGGGGTTCGGAGGCTGGTACGCTATGCTGGTCTGGCAGGGTTCTAGGACCTTCGAGGTAAAAGGCACAACCGCGATCATGCGCCCTTTCTCGTATGCCTCGATTATCAAAGCCTTTGGGTCGATCTCCTTTGCTCTCAGAGGCTGATTGCGCCCAATCGTCAACTTGCCGAGCCAGCTCCCCAGATTCTTCAACAAAGAGCGCTCCTCCGAGCTGGTCTTGATCAATTCTGAGCGCAGGAGAACCTTGCAGTTCTCGTATGTCGCCTTCACCACTTCCTTCTGCAGGCTCTTGTCGTTGATCTTGTCCAGAAAAGCTAGATACAGCTCGTGGAAGTTGGGCTCGATGCTAGCTCTCCGCATTACCATGTACTGAGCAAACCACGGGTGGTTGGACTCTTTCAGCAGCTCCAGCAGCTCTTTGGACTTCGGCTCTATATTTGATGTTGAGATGTTGTTGATCAGAAAGGCTATCTTGTCCTGCACTTCCTGCGAGGGTGCTTCTATCGGTGGCCCATCCCGCTTCTCTGCTGCGGCCATAAGAGTCTCGATGTTCAGAGCATGCCCGAAACCGCCCTGCGGCTGCCGCGATTGACCCTGCGAGCTTCCTGGACGCGAGACTGCTCTTGACGTAGCGCCTGCTGCTGACCCTGTCGTTGGCGGTGCTCCACTTCCAGCCTTGGTTCCCGCTTCGCCGCCCCCGTTCGACTGCCCCCCGGCCCCCACCCCAGTCCCGACGCCCACCGCCCCTCCGTCTCCACGGTCCCCCTCGGACTGAGTAGCTTCTGGCTTGGCCGTCCCGTCCTCAACGGTGATGGCCCCTACTGTAGCTAGGGCCTTGCTGCCCCCCGTCCCAATCGCTTGACTGTCAACTGCGGTGCCAACCCCCCTGGCAGGCGATGCTCTCACGCCCGACCCTGGCTGGACATCTTTGGTGGCCTCAGTTTCACCTCCCGGTAGCGCACTGGCTGGCAGAATGTCAGCACCAGTGGCTGCCAGACTCTGCGACAGCATGTTGCTGCTGACCGTGGGAGCGGCAGTGCGTCGCTCATGGCGTTCGAGAGCATTCTCGACGAACACGACAAGCTCCGGATGAGCTTCCCGCAGGTGGTTGATCTGCAGCAGGTGGTTGCAGTACTGAGGCCACTCCTCCAGCCGGGACATAAACTGGCCGAGCGCAGTGAGCCCAAAGGAGAACATCTGCAATTCAGAAGCAGAACGTGAGAAATGAACGGTCAATAACAGGCTTTTGACAAGAGATAGTTCACAACCGAGGCTTGTCCCGTTCAAGCTTGCTCAAGCTTGTAAAAGGTCATGGCATCACCAACTAATATCGACTGGGTCAAAAGAGTCAACCCCTGTGAAGGTAAGGATATTCAAGAACATCCCCAAAGTGGATTTCCGCTTCTCCGCCAAGTAACGACACGGACGAAGCTTGGGGGTAGATCGCCTACCGCTATCTGCCAAGAGTCATTATGTGACAAGGAAGCCAAGGCAAACAGCACATAAGCGAATTGCTGGACTGGCAGTGAGAGTGCGCATCATTATTGGCTGGACCACGAGCAAGTAGTCTGCCAAAGCAAGAGCATACCCCTTACCTTTGACTCTAGGGGCTTCCGCAGAGCGTCCAGGACATATCGGAGAGCCAGTCCCAAAGTCACCGAGGACACCAATTGGTGCGAGATGAGGGATCCTGGACAACAAGAGGAGGCATGATCAGGTTGCCAACTCGTGCCACCAAGGGGCCCTGACAGCAGCAGAAAGTTTTCATTGCAGCAAAGGACACATGTTGAGTCGCATACGAGGCGCAAATTCCAATACGAGGCGCGCTCCAGGAAGCACGACCAGACAGAAAAACAGGCCTCTGCAACAAAAGCTAAAATCCTGGGCCGGACACAGTTGAGCAGTCTACGCGCTCACCGAACAGGACAGCAGTGATCTTCAGCTCCTTGTCAGGATACTTGGGGAAGAAGCGATATTCGTCGAAGAGGTTGTGAATCATGCATGCAAAGATCTCTCCTTCCCTGCAAAACAAGTCAACGTAAACAACATGAGCTTCTCAAGCATTGGTGGATGAAGAGGCCGACCATGCTTTCCGTCCTGGCAAATCAAGCGCTTCTTCTGAGGACAGTGCACAGTACAAGTTCTGCTTAGCCAACTGATTGTCTGACAAGCCTCACCTTGCAACTTGGGATTTGCTGAAGCGCTTGAGCATGTCAACAATCTCGTCGATGCTGTGCTGTCCAGTGTAGATCTTCTGGAAGTATGAGTTTGCCTCTTCCTCAACGTCAGCAGCGAATGACTCCGCGGGAGTTTGTTCTGCGTTCCTCAACCGCGGATTTGACTGAGCCGCAGCATCAAAGGCCCGTTGCGCTTTCTCCGCCATCCCAGGTGACAAAAGCTTTGCATTCGAGTGTATCACCTGGGCCAAGAGGGAAAGAGTCCTTCAGTTGTTGCTGCCATTTCACAAAGTGCCTCAAATCGACAGCGTCAGGAAGAAGCTGCTGACTGACAAAGGCATAACTTGGAAAGCAGGTCTGCAATGGGATGAAAGGGCATTCAAATCAGTATGAACGCACATACCTTCAAGAACAGCACGGCTGTCTCAGGAGCGAGAGGGATTGGAGCACCAGCCCTTGCGAGAGACTCTGCGTTTCCCTCCGAGGGGCTCTTGTCTGTCACATAACTCAAGCAGGCCTGCAGGAATTGGAGCGTGCAGATTAGAAGCAGAATCTCGATACCAGATGCACGGGCGATTGCATGAATGACAAAGATTCAACGTCCAACCCGATTTAAAGTCTGGATAGCTCGGACCTGTCACTACAACATGACACTAACCAACAATTGTCCATGCCTTACCTCAAGGAAGGGGCCCTTGTGCAGATTGGTGGCGTCCTGGAGCCACTTCTCCAGATTCAAATATTCGCGCCTGGAAGCGAGGGCAGCAAGGTCGATCGCAAACGAGAAAGGAGTGTTGTCAAGCACCGTTGGCAGAACCTGCAGCAGAAGCAAGATCGCAAAGTCAGGGCTTCTATTTCGTCTCCCAGAAAGCAGTAGTCAATGGCCACCAGAAACTACCGATGCGTCGAGGCAAAGACAAATGAATCAAGAGTTGAGGGCGACAAGATTGTGAAACACTTTGCATATCATTCAGGCGGAGGAAGGACCCCGTCTACATAACCCCAAAGAGCACAGGATTAAGAATTTGTACCTTCAGGTCTTGGCATATGTCAAGCATACGTGACACTTGACTGTTGTCCTTGCCATGCACTTCCACCATGCACTTCAGGATCGCATCCCGCTGAAGCGGCCAGACCCGGTGTAGTACGATGCTAGAGTTTGGATGGATGGCAAGGTAGGCTGGCAGCAGGGCTGAGAAGACTTCCGCCTGGAGGGTTCCATAGTTTGCCTGGACATTGGCAAGTGCCCAATCATGAGTTGGTGGTGGTAGCGTCAACCACAAAAGCATGCAAGAAACAGTGCATAGTGACTCTGTTTTCATGCCAGGCAACCACAAGCACCAAAGAACGGACAAGCATATACAGAGCTGACAAAGAATTGCACGCACCTTGAGTTGAGCCATCCCAAGGAGCAAGACCTCCGGGCAGACTTTCAAGGGAGCGTCTAGCAGTGACCGGGTTTGCGCGCCTTGTCCCACTTCAGCGAGTTGGCACAAAACCTCCAGCAGATCCAAGGAAAGCCAGCATTGGTTTGGCGTTCCCAGCGGCGATTTGTGGCCATGCAATCCTTCAACGGGAGCCTGCGCAGAGGTCAAGCGAGGATTTGTAACACGGTTGCAATTGGAGTAGAGCATGCAACTCTGAGTCATCCATGACAACTCAAGGGCAAGCAAAGGGTTTGCACAGCAAGGTCTCTCCTGGCACACTGGTCAAGCACTTTCTAGGCATTTGTCGCTCTGCATAAATTAGAAAGTCTTGAAAGCTTTTGTAGCACCTCACCTGCTTCCGGCTTGAGTGCGCAAACGAGAAAACTTCTGGCGGAGCAGACACAGCATGGCGCAGGAACGAGACCTGGCCAGCTGTATTCTTCCAAACGCGTCCGCTCACAGCGTCAAGTGGAAAGAGCTCCTGCACAAACATAAACCTTTTCTTAGGTCCGATTCAAGTCCACGAAACAACCTCCAAGAGCAGCTTCCACCTGTTCCAAGTCAAAAGACCATAAAAAACGCCTGAGCATCAAGTGCGCCTGAGGATGACGCCTCACCTTCGTCGATTTTGAGTACAGTGTCAGCAGAACGAGGAAGGCTTTCTGATCAGGCAGATTGAAAGCAGGGTAGTCCAAGTTCCTCATTGCAGCTGCGAAGCTGAGGTCAGGATACTGCAGAAAGGGAGGGGAATGTATTAGCAATATGGAACCCTTGATGGACGCTTCTGACAAGCCCCAATCTACAAACGGAAAGACTAGTCCATGCCGGCCCATCCCCGTCAGCAAGGAATCCTGGCCATGAAACTTACCGTGTCATGTACAGCTTCCACAATTGCGCTAAGATTCCAGGTGCTGAGTGGCCCCGTTTCGGCCGCGGCGGAGGAGAAGGCAGCTACGAAGGGACCCTGTAAGCCATGTGCATCGTCCAGTCCCGAGTGTGTCTGTGCTACTGTGCCAATCAGCCTAGCCAACTCTTCCTCAGACAACTTTGGGAATTGCAGCAACAGGTCCTTAAATCGGCCCGCCGTTGCGGTCGAGTTGTAACCCAACTCGACTATCACGTCTGCCAATGAGGGTGCGGTCGCCATGCTTGATGCTTGGTGGAGGCAGCACCAGGGATTGGATAGGAGACCTGCAAACCAATTCGTAGTTCATTGCATACATTACTAGCCGAAATACGAATGCATCTTCAAGAGACAAACTGAAAATATTACCTTTACCAGCATATGGACAATAAATTACACGCCTGCGAATGCTATTTGACACTTTGAGCTATTGTCTCATCTACTAAACTTTCTCCAAAACATGGCCAGCACAGTGGCAGGCAGCAATCGAGCACCAATCGAGCAGCCAACGAGTAAAGCTTCATTCAGGTTCTTCCAAAACACGGCTTCATCAGAAGTGGATGAAGGTAATCCACACATCGGGGACCTCTGAAAACATGCAACACAAAATTCCATGATGAGTAATCAACGAACATGCAAAAACTTCATCTCCTGAGATCAGCTGCCCTCGTTGAAAAGCCAAGAAAGATCAGCTCAAGCTGCTGAAGATTCAAAGTAAAAAACTTAAAAGCGTAGTTGGTTGAAGCCATCTGTTCGCAGCACAAGCCCAATTTAACCACCAGAAGTCTAAATACATCTACAAGCAATGTGCTTCGCCTCTCACCTTCTTCTTCACACCACACGCCACAGCAGAGCCACGTAATACGCGGCAGACAGCCAAAAACCGCTCAGCAGCTCCGAACAAAGGCAATGCGCCCCAGAGGCTTTGCAGCCTTCAGGCTTCAGTGCGCTCGCCAGAGACGGCTCTGGAATTTGGCGAGAGTTGGATTTGCAGTTCGCCCCATGCAGCACAATACCTCACAATATTGCCAACGCTAGCACTGTGCAGAGTCTGGACTCTGGACTCTGGACTCATGAAACTCGGCATACCTAGCAAGTACCAAGTACTGCTCTGATAATCGATTGCCTCGGCCGCAAATAAGAACCGTCGGATTAACAATTCGACCACTCACAAGAATCTGAGGGACACAGAATCCTTCAGAATCTACACTTGAGATTTAAGTCATGAGTTCGGAGTCATGACTCATGACTTAAATACCTATACTTCCAAAACTCTTGAGACTTGCACGTACCGGTACCTCCTTTTTCTACCTCTGTGGGTGACACATAAATGATAAAGTTGTAGCATGATGCATCAACAAATTTCCATGATGAAAATGGCTACAGGCTACACAACTCTGCGGCCGAACCCCCTTACGCAAGCAAACCCTTCGTTGTGGGTACTCATATGGACATGAGCGCGCATGGACTCTTCGATCGGTCCTGTGACCAAAATTACCACATAGGTATATGGTAGCACACAAATAGCAGTGAAGAGCATGGCCGCCGCGGGCAAGATTTGTTCAGCTTGCGGATTAAGGGTTTCTGTTCGCAGGATTGTTTGACGGAATCGATCTGCACTTCGATTCAGTCGGGCTATGAGAAGAGGACATCGGGTTGCCACTCATTAGAGGGTGGCGGGCTTAAGTGTGTTTATGCATACCGAAATGGGCATATGAAAAGGTTGCCAAATTGGATTTCAGGCTCCAGCTTAATTTGAGCATGGAATTCTCATGATCTTCAGCCGTCCGGTGGCTTCTTTGAATCGAGGGATGATCGGGCGGTCAAGATTGCGAAAAGCAGCTCGAAGCATTTGAAGCCCAATGGCCAGTTTGACGCAAACAGGTTTACCATGGCATTCAAAAGCAAGAGACCATACTACAATCTGCATGGATGAAAGGCTGGGTGCAATGCGTATATGAAGATTTCCATGGGAGCCCACTCGAACATTCGAACGTTGCCTAACCTGATTGTACTGCGGTGACGTGCAACAACAACATTTGGCCTCCGAAATCTGCATGAAGGTTTACTTGGAAATCCCGACTATGTTGGACCGAGTTTGCACGATCTAATTTCTTGCGACCAAGGCGAGCTGGCGGTTTAGCATGGCATAGGTTTGGGATCATACAAGTAATCAAGTACTTGTGGCACAGGATTGCAGCTGTCAAGCAGCACCACCCAGCACACTGCATGCCATTTGCAGTGTACTCGACAATGCTGTCAATTAGCGCTTTTACATGCCTTTATTGATCGAAAGAATGACAATAAAACGCCTTGCACACGATCTTCGAAGGCCTGTATCGTGGTTAAATCGCACATACATCTGATGGAATGAAGCTCTCCCAGAATGCTTTTCTAGTGTCGGCCCAACAAAGCAGTTCCGCAGATGTCTTAACTCGACCAGTTCCCTGGCCAAGGCTTTGGGCTTTCGAGATGGTCTCCTCATCGCCGCATCTTCTTGCTCGGCGGCGCTCCCCGGCGGTCTGGCGGCCGCCCCTTGCCTTTCTTCCGCCGCCGGTCGTCTTCACTGTCGTCTTCATCGCTGCGATCCCGGTCCTCCCTGTACCACAAGCCCACAGCATGGCGTCAGTCTGGCATCAGTTACACCACCACCGGCACGTCGCTGGTTATTAACCCGCTGCGCAGGGGCTGGGTGTGGCGGCCAGTGTGTGGGACGGGCGTCGCACCTGGCGGCCTGCTCCTCGAGCTCGTCCCAGTCCATGCCCTCCTCCTCGTCCTCGTCGCTGCCGCTGCTGCCGTCCTCGTCGTCCTCGTCGGACGCCACCACGCTCTCGTCGTCCTCCTCCTGCACCCACCCGCCACCGCGTCAGCGCAGCCGCCAAAGTGAGCGAACTTATCCCCGCTGCACAGCACCTCACGCCAGCACTCCTGAGCACCCGCAGGGTCGACGCCATATGTGTGCATGCCTGCTGTGCGGGGCGGGGCGCACCTCGGACGACTCGGAGGCGGCTTCCTCGTCGGACGGCTCGTACGCGTCGGACTCCTCATCGGAGCCGCCTTCCTCGTCGGAGGCGTCCGCGTTGAGGAACTCCCAGCCGCCGTCCTCGAGGAACTTGTCGGGGTCGTCCAGGATGGTGCGCAAAATGGGCTTCCACACCAGGTTCAGCCGGTTCTCATAGTACTTGATCTTCATGCTCGTCAACCAGCTGCACGCAGCGCCAACAAACAGCCACCGTCAGGCAACCCCGGCACACCCGCCCGCAAGCAAGCAAAACACGACGGGGACCGTCGGCAGAGACAGCTATTGGCAATGCGCTTTGCACCAAGCTTCAAAAAGCTGGGCTACCCGCAGACTCGGGCGAGGACGTTGGAGGCTGGTGGCCCGGGGGCGACGGCTCACTCTTTGATCATCTCCAGCGAGGCAGTGGGGATAGCATCGATGCGGTGGACGTCCTTCCGGAAGTCCTGGCAACACAGCCGGGCCGGGTCAGAAGAGGAGATGCAACAACAGGAAGAAGCAGGCAGAGAGCGGGGCAGTTGCCTGAGAAGTCGGACACTTGCAAGCGCCCCAAAGGCGACAATAGAGACATATTTGTATGGAAGGCAGAGAGCTAGGGTTGCGGCAGTACAGCGCCGTGCAGACGCGGGCCGAGTGCGGCGCATGGCGCACCTTGAAGACGATGGTCATGTCGAAGCTCTTCTTGCTCATTCCCACACGCTCCAGACTGACAATCTCGATCTCGTCCAGCGTCACCACCAGGAATGGCACCTCAATCAGTGACACCTGGCGCAGCACGCACGTACGACCGCGGGTCAGGCGAGCGAGGTACAGACATCACGACGACTTAGCTGATGGTGCGGAGGGTACGACAAGCGGAGGCAACAAGCCGGATCGATATGTCAATCCACAACAAGGGCTCCTCGCAAACGTCAGCAGGATGCGAGAGCCGAAGTCTGCAGCAGCCGCTGCACCGCTGTCCCTTGCGGCACTCCGAAGCAAGAGCCGTTGACGAGTTGCGCACGCAGGGGCGGGGGGCTAACCAAGCAATTGACGCAGGGGATGATCTTGGCGGAGGTCTTGAAGGGCACCCCCGTGAACGCGAACTGGTTGAACGGCACGTCGAACTCTAGGTCCAGCTGCCCGAATAGCTCCTGCGCCTGCGCCCAACCCACAACGGCACGCCACACGTCAGCGCCTGCGCCTCCAGGACTGGGCCGCTAGAGATTGTCATCGAATGCTTCACGAGGCCACCGGATGTTTGCTAACAGGGGCGGGCGAAGGGTGGCGGTGCCTCACCCTTTTCACAAAGTTTTCAAAGTCCTTGTTGATCTTGTTGCGTCGTTCGCGCTCCCGCTGCTCCTCCTCGATCTCGTCCGGGTCGTACCTGCACCACAAATGCGCCAGCACCCCGTCAGCACTGCCCGCATTGCCAGACCATCCAAGGCGCACGGGGCACCCGGCCGTCCGTGCAACTTGCAGGGGACGTCGAGGGACGGGCAGGAGCGGGGTGCGGCGGGGCTCACATGGCGCGGCGGCCGCTGTGGACGGTCTGCACGACGTCCATGACCTCGGCGTAGAACTGCACGTCCTGCGTCTTCTTCTTGCCCAGCATGATGGGGTGGTGCAGGTGGAAGTGGATCAGCGTGATCATCTCGTTGTCCGCAGGCTGCACCCACGCACACGCGCACGCCCACCCGTCAGCACCCACTGCGACAGGCCAACATGCACACGGGCAGCCAGGCAGCGGGAGGCGTCAAGAGCGCGGGCTTTGCGGGCGTGGCGCCGCGAGTTCCCACCTGGAAGACGGCGTGCTTGATGTTGCCGTACATGATGTCGAGCCGCTCGTCCGCCTTGTTGGTGGCGTAGCGGAACCCGTTAGCATGCGCCTCCAGTGTCCCGGTCGCTTTCTTGCCGCGCCCGCCAAAGTTGGGCCGGATCCAGACGTCGCTCAGCCGAGGCGCGCGGCCCTTGAGGAGCTGGAGGCGCTCTTGGGTGACGAGGGTGGCGCGCTCCGCCCGCTCGTTCTCCCGCTGCGCCACCTGGCGGCGCATCGTCTTGAGCAGCTGCACCACCTGGTTGCTGTGCCGCGCGTCGCTGCTGCGGTACGACACCTCGCGCAAAAACACCGAGTCCGGGTACTTCACGGCCGGGGTGTACCCCGCGCCGAACGCTGCGCCGGGCACGTTGAAGTTGATGCGGATCAGGCTGATGCCGCCGTCCTGGGAGCTGGTCACGTTCTTGATGGTGGCCACGTGGAAGGGCACCATGAGGCCGTAGATGGGCAGCAGCACGGCCTCGTTGCGCTGGTCCACCTGGATCATCAGCTCGCGGCTGCTCGGAATGTCGTCCACCCCGCGGTACGCCACCACCTCTCCGCCGCCCCCGCGCCCGCCGCCCCCGCCTGCGCCCCCGCCTGAGCCCCCTGCGCCTCCGTTGGCCATGTCCAGGATGCGGCGCCGCGTCTCCTCGTTCTTCTGCGCCACCAGCTCCGCCTGCGTCCGCTTGCGCTCCTCTGCACACGGCCAGGAGCGCGCTCGGTGGCCCATCGGCGGACAACCCCTTCAATACCACGACGTAGAATCCAGTTTAAGCCAACGACGATCATGCATGCCGTTCTCTTCCGGCCGTCACATCGATGCCCAGTAAGCGGCCATGCTGGTGGCTTACCTTCCTTGTTCAGCTCCTTCTCTGAGCGCAGCGTATTCTTCGCATCCACGGCGGCAGCGGCCCGGCGCGGTGGCGGGGGAGGCGGCTTCACGTCGGGCTCCTCGTCGTCTCCATCCTGCACAGCGGAGCAGCTCGCGTCATCAGCCGGCGGGGCCAAGTACGGCCATGGCGCGGGGGGCCACAAGCAGGAGTGGTTACAGGCAGAGGCCACGCAGAAAAGCAGGACGCCAACCGAGCAGCACAAGCACAAAGCGCGGACAAGGGGACAGCGGTCACCTTGAAGGAGTAAGCAATCTCGTTCCAGGCGCGGGAGCACGAGGCAGTGGCCACCTGCAGACAAGCGGCAGGAGAAGGGCGGTCAGGACGAAGGACACCCAGAGGGGCAGCGAAGGGGAGAGCAATGATACGAGACGAGTGGCAGTCACACGGGAGCGGAGGTGTGCGAGAGAGGAGCGGGGTCGCACCTCGGCCTGGTCTTGCTTCACGATGACGGTGTCGGCCAGCAGCAGGGCGTACTCGCGGGACGCCCCCGCCGGAGCCTCCGGGTTGGGCACCGCCTGCACGCCCAGCTGCACGGGGGGGGGAGGCACACGGTCGCGACACAGACGAAGGGCGGCAGGAGGAAAGCAGGCCGGGACCAGCAGCAAGAGCGCAGGGATACGAAATGAGCACACAAAGGGAGTCTGGGCCTGGGCACTTCATCGATGAGGGGTTATCGATGTGGCTGCGGCTAGCTGGCTTCGGGGGTGCTCACCGCAACGTTGAAGCACATGTGGGGCCGCACGGTCTCCTTGTTCTTGGGACTGATGGAGTAGGTGCCCTCACGCAGCTCCAGCCCTGAACAGAAGCCGCACAGATCAATGGGGCTGGACGACCCGGGGCGGGGCAAGCAGACCGCAAAATTGGGCACCCAAAGGGGGTGGTGTGCGCTCACGGACTGCCTCTAATGAGCAGGTTCATGGAGAAAAAGGCAGCTGGCGGGAGGCGCCGCTCACCGATACTGCTGCCAAACGTCTTGGACAGGAAGGGCACTGCATCCGGGGCGTCCGCCTGCACCACTGCTACGCCCGCCTGGATGAAAACAACCGCCAATTATGATGAAGAGACGAGGAGCGGACCTTCTGATAGCCCACAACCAAGATGCTTTCGAGCCAGCGAGCGAAGCGGGTCGGGTCTGCCAGCCAAGCCGGGAGAAGCAGGAGGAAAAGATCCGTGACCGGAGGGGCGGAAGGCTCACCTGATAAACGTCGGCCAGGCGCGCCCCAGGGCGCAGCGCGGCAATGACCGCCTCCTGAGCACGCAACAAGGCCTTGTACACCTGCACACAAGCAAAGCAGCAGTGTGAATGCCCTGCTCTCGCCACAAACCGGGCCAGTAGTGGGGCTCGTTCTCCAATGTCTATCCAGAATCTACGAACAAAGAAACTTGAACAAACTAGTACAAGTTTGCATGCTGGATCTCCGTTCTCTTTTCTCCCTCCCGGGAATTCAGTTTCGCCCTCCGCCCTGACTTTCGCAACCATCGAATTGCAACCATCGAAATCGATTCCAAGTTAAGGCCGTTTGCAAGATTCAGCGACTCGACACCCAGACGTAGTCACTTGGAGAGACAGAGAGCGGCTATGGCAGGGAGGCACGTGGGCCGACCTGTTCCTGTTTCTTGGTGGAGTCGATGAGGAGGGAGCGCGCCAGCGTGGCGCAGTACGAGTTGTACTTGGCCCCAACGGCCAGCAGGATCACCCCACACGTCCCTGCACGTCCGACCAACCATGGCACTTATCAAAGCAGTCATGCAAGACCAATTCGCGCATGGCCGCCCGCTATCAGAGGGGGGCGACCGGAGCAGCTGACATGTAGCGACAAGAAACGGCCCCTTCGCATCTTCCTGCTGCTTCTTGTGCCCGTGCCTTCCGCGCCTCACCAAAATCCAAAGTTCCCGGGCTGCTCTCAGCAGCAGGGCGGATGTCGTACTCCCCCCTGCAGGTCACCGACGAAAACGGGTGTCAGTGGAGCGAAGGCTGATGTAGCGGCTCTTCGGAACACGGAAACAACGGTGACAGTGCGTGTCTCAGAGTGAAGCGCAGCCTTGATCAAACACATGCCATCACGCATCGAGTCTTGGTTGTTGATCTAATCGTGCATGATGCTGTGCAATCCTAGATGTCGTTCCCATATCAGCTCCTTGACACTCAACGAAACCTCAGTCCCTAGTTGAAAGAAAAGCCTTGAGCAAATCGTTTGCTGTGCACCGGTACAAGAGCCCCAGATATATATTTGGGGACACATATATTTAGTCCCAGACAAAAGCATCTGGGTTGCATGTCTCACCCGCTCTGGAAAATGGGGGGATATGCCAAGTCCACGTTCTCCGCCCTGAAGGCCAGCAAATACAGCTTGGTCAGGCAGCCTCGTCACGAAAAGTTGAATCACTACGCAAGACGGCTTTGCGTCCAAAGTATTTTACAGACATCCTGCCAGCACAGTAGCTTTTTCTTGCAGTCGGCGTGTTGGGATGAAACATCACAACAGGTTGGCGGCTCCAGCCTCAACGTCTCAAAGACTGTCATGAAACATAAACCCTCTCACCTCAACTTAACTTTGACACGGGACGGCTCTAGCAGCGCTGCCTCCGCACTGCGCCACGAGTACAGCCAGCATTAGGCAGACACAACCTTCGAAGCAAGGCATGCTCAAACAAAGAATCGAGCTTTTGGATGGAACAGGCAGGGCGGTACAACATCACGTCAAATTGCAAAAGAAACGGAAATACCCCCCCGTGGCACAGCAAGAGCTGGATACAGAGGGCTCACTCTTCGGAGAGCTTGGCATGCGTTACAGTCTTCTCCTGGTCGATGATCTCTTCGACCTGCACGATGGCGTGCATCTGCAACCGAAACAACCCACGTGTTACGCTTGCGGACTCATGATTCGAAGGTAACAAACTGAACTACACCGGCAAATCGCAGGAAGTTGATTTGGACCAGGGACGCAGCAAGTGCCCACCTTGAGGACCTGGGCGGCCAGGAGGGCGGCCCGCTTCACGTTCACGATCTGCACACCCCAACACATTTCGTCAGCTGTAGAGCAAAGGCGTAGCCACGAATCGTGGAGCACGACGACGTGACTGGCACAGCCCCAGAGTCTTTGCCATGCCGCTGCGGTGCATACCTCTGCCTCGTCCTTGGTGGCCAGCAGGTACGCCAGCCCGGGCGCGGCGTCCACCAGCGTCGCCCCACTCGCAGACAGCGCACTCGCCCACCTGCAGCGGAGTGCCGTGGGCCCATCAGTAAGCGACGAGCCCACAACAGCCAACAAAGGATGGCAGCTTCGCTCCTGCCCGGCACACTGCTTGACAGCATGGCGTTTAGCCAGGGGCCAGCGGCGCGGTGGGCTTTTCCTGCCACGCCCACCTGGTCATGAGGTCGCCCTCCGGCTTCTCCTTGGGCAGCCAGCCCACTGCCGGGGTCGCCCCGCTGCTCTCTTTGAGCGCAATCAGCACCGCCGCAATATGGGTGGCCCCGTCATCGCTGCGGCCCTTCACATGGATCTGGACCTGGACAAACACATGCCGGGTCAAATGGAATGCCATCAGAGGGGATAGTGGACCCAATTTGCACACAAGCCTAGATTGAAAATTTCCACTTGAAGGCAGATGCGTGAGCCGGTCGGTGCGAGAAACTTACCTGCACTTTAAGGTCTTCAGGGAAGCTTGCTTTGGCCGCCTCCAACATACCAGCTGCAAGAAAAAATAAAGCTGTGTCAGGCAACCTTGGTGGGGCTAATACCCAGAAGATTGCTTGATTGGTATGCGGACAAGTGCTAATGCTGACATGCAGGAGGTTCAATTGACAGAGGATCTCACCCTTCTTTTTGCTGCAGATGAAGTGGACGCCTCCGGCAAGGAACACCATGATGGTCTCTGGGAACTCAAACCTGCAAACAACCGCGAGATTGGTGACTCTCTGGGCAGAAGGTGCATAACCAATGATAGTCAATCCACAGCAAACAACACAGCTGGCCCTTCCCTGATCCCTCATATGCGCGTGGTGGCACTGGCCGGTGCCCTTACCCGAGGAGCCAGAGCTGCAAAGCGGAAGACTTAAGGTACCGTAGGTCCTCGCTGCCCGGCCCGCTGGCCACCGCCAGTGCCTGCGCACCACCCCACAGCGATGCGCGCGAAGCCTGCAGGGAAATGAGTAGGCGCTATGTCAAGTCTCAATGATGCAGCCACAGAGCACTCAAAACGCAACGCGCAAATGTTGTGTGGCCAGGTCATGGTGGGTGGCATGCCGAAGTAGCAGGGTGACCCTCACCTCCCAGCTGGCATACAAGGTCTGCAGGCGGCTGCTGAAGGTGGCGCTGTCGATGCTCTCTTCCGAAGGAGCGGGGTTGCTCCCATTGGCCGCCATCAGCGCCAATTATAGTAGATTTTGATGACGCCAAGCAATGATGGAACTGTGTGTTCACTGGGAAGCGCCGTCGAAGAGGACCCTCAGCCTTCGCAATTGATGAAGGGGACCCTCAGCCTTCGCAACACTGGGGTGCATGTACCATCCAGAAAACAAATCTCATGGCTACCTCAGCCTTGACAGCCTCGTGAGCGCTTCTCCCGAGCCCGGAACCTTTGGCTCATGGGAAGACCTCCTGTCCAGCTTCAATATTGTTGTTGGCGCTTGCACTATTCAAGCTTTGTTGACAATGAAACAATGAAAGCCCAGTGAGGAAGATTTGGCGCCAAATTTGGAAGCGACTCGGAGTCGGACTCGGAGTCTAGTAGTAGTACACACTGCATGTACTACAGCATCCGATGAGGCAGCGGACAAGTAGGCTACTTCAACTTCAAGTAGTTTTGGAGTCTGCAAGAATGGAACCAATCATCATGCACATTGTGCTAAACTTGGAAACTCTTGATCAACCAAATTGGGGAGTAAAAAGTTCCGTGGCAAGAGGCACGGAGCCGCCGCCGCACGGTTGCCAAAAGCCGCATCTGTACAACTCTTAGAACTGAGCTCACAGTCAAAGCCTTAAATCGTGAAAGAAACAACCAATTCTAATCAAGTTCATCTAACCCTGCCACTTCTAGTGGAAGAATACTGGGCAAAGGGACGAAGTTGCTGCACTGCACATGAGGCTCAGGCAAATTGCCCACGCTTTGAAATTCAAAGTTACCTGGCTGGCAGTGGCAGCGGCGCTGCGTGTTGAGCGTGGCTGGTAGTTGGTAGCGGCAGGGTCAGGTAGTGGCATCGGCGCTGCTCTTTTTCTTGCAATGCTGCGCCTTCGCAGTTCTTTGCGCCTTGGCGTGCGCGCCGCAGAGCATTGGCATTTCAATGCGCTCAGCGCTGCTCATGTTTGGGCTGGGCCAGTCCGAGATGACGAGCCTCCTGATGGGACCCGTCAAGCAGCGTCGTCCCCCTCCAAGCTGGAGGCAGGTGTCATTGGCCTGAGCAGTGGCCACAATCGTCTCTCCCAGGGGCCTCTTCTGCCATGTGGGCTGCTCCCCGCAACCCTGTGGGCGTCAGGCGGAGGCCGGTGCTTCAGCAGCTCGCCCGCTGATGCTGCTGCTGCAGAGGTGGTACAGAGTGTGTCTGTCGCGGCTGCCAGCGGGGGCAGCGAGGTGGCCGCCATCGCCAGCGAATCGGCGGCCCCCATCGCTGCCATTCAGTACATGCTGGAGGCGATGCACCAGTACACCGGCCTGCCCTGGTAGGCACAGCATTCAGCGCAGTCCTCAGGCACAGTCACATCAAGCGCCTGTGGGCAGAAATTGGTAATGGTGTGGCAGTATGACATGGGCTCTAGAGGTTTGATCCATCTGACTACCTTGTCACGCAAGGGGGAGATGTCCCTGCCTCTATTTTTACCCCCAGGCGAAGCGCTTTTACCCTTGAATAAGACGGCGCACTGCACTACTTGTAGCAGATCTACCTTTCGCATAGTGGTTGCAGTGCTCTGGCGCCTGATTGCCTCTGGCTGGGGCTCACTCCCCCGCGTGCGCTGCGGCCTGCAGGTGGGCCACCATCGCCGCCACCACTCTGACTGCGCGCGCCTGCCTCTTCCCCATCACCCTCTTCCAGATGCGATCAACGGCCAGGATGTCGGTGCGCCCCACGACTGCGTCTTTCCTTTGAAACGCTTCCAGCATGTGTCTCTGCTACGCTGCTGACTGTGCTCCAGTGTCCTGGCGGCGCCCTCCCGTCTGTCTGTGCCAGCAACTTCCCGTAGGATGATCCCTCTGTCTGGCCTGCTCACTGGCTGCCCTTGTATGCAGGCGGCCCGCCCTGAGCTGGAAGTGCTGTCCAAGAAGATGAGGGAGAATGTAAGTGAACCCTTTGAACGAGCAACCCAGTTAGCGTGTTGCTTGTCCAATCTTAGTCTGAGCTGGCCGGCACATTCACCTTAACGTTGGGTAGGTTCTGAGTGTGTTGGCATCCTTGTGCAGGTAACCGACCACCAGGCGACGCAGGAGATCCAGCGACAGATGTCAGAAGTTATGAAGAAGTAAGGGCAGCAGAGCAGGCCAAGCCGTGAATCAGCGGTTGTTTCCTATTTGGGATATGGCCTTTTCGCTGGTAGTACCTCAAGAAGCACCTGGTGCTGGGAAAGCCTTTCAGTGGTGAAAGGACTGGGAAATGGCTGTGTTTCTTGACAGCGTGCATAGATCCCTTTGCTTCCAAACCATGTACTGCAAGTTCAAGGGTGGTCTCTTCCTTCCGCATGCAGATACAATGTGAATCCGCTCAAGACGATGGCAGGGGCGTTTGCACAAGCTCCCCTCTTCATTGGCTTCTTCTTGGCGGTAAGCTGATGCAGCTCATAATCCCTTGATCCGGTGCAGAAGGGTGTTAGTCAGCTTATCTTTGGGTAGCCATCGAATTGCACCTCGCTATGACCCGGCACTTCCTGCCGTCTTTCATTGGACCAATGGATCCATCTTCTCAGATTCGGCGGATGTCAGAGAATTTGCCGTCGTTCAAGGAAGGGGGCCTCTTCTGGTTCACGGACCTGTCTGGCGCTGACCCCACCTACCTGCTGCCCACCATCTGCGCTGCCACCTTCCTGATCACTGTTGAGGTGAGCACGGCCCTGCCCGCACATCATGTCCCAAAGAGCGAATCCTTTGCGAGCCGCTGCAGGTTGCAGGCTAGCCCCCGTTTTCGCTGCGCACAATCTCTCTCAGAGTATGCCATATCTGCGGTTGCTGTCTCCATTGTACCATGAAGCGTTGGTGGTCATGAATCGAAGCCTCGCTGGGGTTGGCCCTCAGCAGGGCCACCAGGCATGGCATCCCTGCAACTTCCTGGCGCCTGCCTATCGTGAAGTCTCTCTAACTTGTCGCTCTCGTTTCTCAGGTGGGAGCCATGGAGGGCATGCAGGGGCAGCCCATGGCCAAGACCATGAAAATGGCGATGCGCGTCCTGGGGGTGGCCATGGTTCCCCTCACCATGTCCTTTGAGAAGGTGACGCCTGATTCGCTTTGCCCTCTGCCTGCAGTGTCGGGGCTGGTGATTTCGCTAGCTCAACACGGATTTGTGCCTACAAGTGGCACCCTGTGGTCGTCTCTGTATTGGAAGTGCAAAGTGAGCAACATCGGGCTTGCTCTGACGTGCGTGCTTTATGTGCAGGCCCTCTTCTGCTACTGGATCCCGTCCAACCTCTTCTCGTTGCTGCAAAGCTCACGTAAGCCCTCTGCCTCCTGCTAAAGCTTCTGAGAAGTGCCAGGAAGGATATAACCCCGTCCTTTGTTGACAGAGGTGTAACTGGTGTCCTTCGAGTCTTACTCTTTCTTTTGCTCCTAACATGCCAATCGTCTTGCAGTTCTCAAGGTACCGAAGGTGAAAGAGGCACTTGGTATTCCAACTTTGAACGAAGCAGGTCAGCAACCGTTGCCCATGGCTTCAAGTATGCATCAAACAGAAGTAGTCAGTAGTACCCCAACATCTTTGCAGTCAATACCACGACCAACTAAAAAGAGGCGAAGTAAACGGAAATGATTCTGTTGACGGGTATCGATCATGCTGTAAGAGCGCTGTTAGTATGCCATCCCGGTGATATAATATGCTTTCTCGATGTGATTTCTTATGGGCATACCAGGCCTCGCCACAAGTCGCAAAGATTGCCTCGTTCAATTGTCTAGACAGGGTTCACTTTGACGCTTCTTGGCAGACGGCATGATTTCGTGTAAAGGGCTGGTCCAGATTGTCTTTCAGATCCAAACTATACTCATCTTAGAATGGCATGTGCATTGCAAGCTTTTGACTGCGCCTAGCTGCATTGGGATCTTCCTCCAACTCTTGCTCGATCACTTTTGGCACACTTTGCCGAGTGCAGTATGCATTCTGAGCTAAGACTCGCTTTCGGGCTTAGATAAGCATGCCGACCCAAATGTAGATTTCTCGAGCTAATAAGTGTTTACTGACCACGTACATGGAGCTAGGGACGCCGTGCGGCGGCGGGTGATGGCCAGTCGTCCCATGACAGCCTGGGCCCTTTCGTTCATCATTGTGATATTCAACAAGAGCTTCACTTTGCGCCGGCAGTCTAACCCAAAGCCTGCATGGTTCATGCATGTACCCATGTGCTTGAAATGCGGGTTATGCATGATCAAGAAGAGCTAACTTAGTTCTTTCCAACGGTACACACCCGCGATGCATCATTCAGTGGTCAACTTAGAGTCCTGGGTACACATTGCGAGTTAGGCCTTGAATGTGTATCCAACTACAGCGCAGGGACTGTTGCATCATGTACCGCGCCGCTTTTCAGGAGATGCATTGCCTACATGTATACACATGCACGCTGCCGAGAGCGCTCGGCTTACAGTGGTGGCAAAGATAATATGAATCTACTCACCCATTCGACGTACTTCATTGGTTGTATGTGGTGCTATCTCAACCAATTCTCAAGTGCGGGCCGCTTGGCCAGATCTAAAGCCGCTCTTCATTGCCCGTGGAGGCTGGAAGCCAGAGTCACAATCAGTTGCACGACCGCAGTTTCTTGTAGGGCGGGCCTGAAGCACCTGTCCAGAAATGCTTTTCAGCAGTGAAGCCCCTCTTGGATGCGTTCCTGCACAACAGGCACGGCAACATCGTCAACGATACTATCTCGATAACGATAGTATTGATATTATGGTTCTAATTGCCGGTTTCGCTTCTCAATGACAATCTTCCTTGTCAGGACTTACCAGTGAAGCTGGATATATCGACCACGAGAGAAGTACACTAACAATCAAAAAGCACAAACTTACCTGGCAGCATCGAACTCTAGCCACACGTCACTTTGCGAATCTTCGTCGTCGGCCGGAGTAACTGTAAGAACGTCGCAATCTTCGTCGATCCAAGCGCTAAGACCTTTTGGGACAGTATTCACCTTCTTTATAGGCGAGTCAGCGTAGGATTCAACCGTTGGCTTCGAACTTTCGGCTTTGCATGTGCTGCTGAGATCAGCAATGCAGACCGCCAAAGTGTTGTCTTCATTCATTGCTTCCGTCCCCCACTGTGAAGATCTGCTTGCGGTCTCGTCTCCGTTCGCTGATTCGAAGAGTTTTGATAAGGAGGTGTCAAGCTCTACTTCTTTGGGTTTGGACGTCCAGGCAATCTCATCGGCTCCTTTTGGATTCTTTCCTCGTCTCAAGTTGTTGCAAACCTCTGCATGATTTTCGCATTCGCTGATTTTCCTCTCAGATTGCAGCGTCACCAGATCTAACTTCTCTTGTGTCTCTCTGAGCTCTGAGTGAACCTTGTTTGACTCGATGTCTTTGCTTTTGATCAGCTTTTCTGCTTCCTCAAGCTTTGTGAGATTCAACAACAGCTGTGCTTGTTTCAGATTAAGGTTTGCTCTTGTTGTCCTGTGAGACTCCTCGACAAGCTGCATGCTCTCCTCTAGGTTCGTCAATCTGCACTTTTGGTTTTGCAGCTCTTGTTGTTGCTCTTGTTGCAGTACAAGCACCTTCTGATTCTTTTCAGCCTCATCCTCCAGTTTCTGATGAAGGGCCAAGGAGAGTTGGTCGATGTTGTTCTCCAGCTCCCTTGCTCTGCATGACTTTTGTTGCGTGGCATCTGCCTGCCATTTTAGGACCACGACAAGACCTTGCAGAGTTGCTTCAAGCCTCCTCAAGCGTCTGCCAACGCTTTCCAGCTCTTCAGCTCCTGACCGCAACTTTCCCCGCAAGAAAGCTGATCTCTGCTTCCCATCCCGTAGATCGTTTTCAAGTCTGGAAATATCCAACTGATCTTTGATTCCTTGCTGCTCGAACCTAAACGTTGTGTCTACCAAGTTTTGAGACCTTTCTTCCAAGAGCCGTTCGAATGCCTCGGCGCGCTCCAGCAATTGCAGCTTCTCAAGCCGCAAATTTGATAGAGCAGTTGAACCCTGCGCTGCTTCTATTTTCAGTTGGTTCATCGCTTCATGCAGTTGCTTGATTTGCAATTCCTTGCCCTCAATCGTGAACCTCAAGGCTGCATTTTCTTGGCGTAGGCTTTCTTCCCTTCGTTCTTGCATGTTCGAGGCTTCAGAGACGATTTTGAGGATCCTCCTATAATCTCTGGAGGCTTCGGAAACCTGATGATCGAGCATCTCCTGCATGTCTGATTTTAGAGCTGTAACTCCGCCTCTTAGCTCCCGTTGACGTCCAAGGACCTCCCTTGCGACATTAGAGGTCGCAACACTGTTTGCAAACGCGGCACGGACGATCGTTTTCAGAAAGTTTACCAGGCCAACTCCTCTCTCCTCTTGAAATACTGTTTCCTGCAAACCGAATTTGTTGACAAGCTTCAATATGCAATCAAAACATACATATCTGTCAGACGAAGGTACTTGGATTTTTTCTGGAGGTGGAGAGAAGTGAATTAATGCCCGTTTCGAACACCATAGGAGCATCCCTTCCTTTGATGATGAGCAGATCATTTTAAAGAGCACAGATGTAGACGTCTTACCTTTGTCAGAAATTGTTCGCATTCCTCCTTTAGCTGACTCGGTGAAGACAACACACGAAGAAGAGAGTCTTCCATTATTTCGCGCCTTGGCAGTGCTCAGAAGCAGCGCTTCAGCAACTGACTGAATGTTACGTTTCTAGAGATATCCCCAAGTGTGACATCACGTTTCGTTCTCCTTCTTGCAATCCTCTTCCTCCCCTGACATTCGTAGCTTGGCAGTGAAAAAGTAAGCGTCGTCCTTCAGGCGCTGTGGCCCGTTCGACCCGAGCTCAACCTTGCAGCATTGTCCATTGGTACAGACTAACTTACAAACTTGAGCCGGCCAATCAAATGGCGGGCATTATGTAGAGATTCGTCACCGATCGCACACAGGGATCGCACACAGGGGAGACCGAACCTTACCCAAATGACGGAACCATTGTTCCGCACCGCCAGATACGAAGCTGCCCTTTCTGAACGGTTGCGATTGCACCTGATGGTCGTTCCGAGCGCAATGACGTGGTCCTCGGTTGTTATAGCGAGGAGTTCAATCGTACGATTAAGAGAGGGTTAGGAGATATTTGCGTGTAAAAGTCACCCTGACCAGCCCTTGCCCACCCCTTAATGGCTGCTTGCTCAGACCCAAAACTCTACGGGTTTGGAGTTGAATCTTTGTAGATTTTAGACCACCAGCTGCAGTGCCCGCTCTTATGCCACCAGTGGGCAAGCAGCCGTTCAGCTGCAGGAACATGGAACAGATTGCATCAAAGTTTGCCTGTGTTGTTTGGTCCTCCTGAATCAATCGATGCAAGTCACGATCAAACCGCTCATCCAGCCATGGTCATCAATGTGTGTTTTGCCCACTGGAGAGGGGTTTCTGTGGTTGGTGTGGTCGTCGGTTGTCTTTTCGAGCTGAAAAGTTTCGCGAGCTGTGTATCAAATTGTGCAGACGCAATTGGCACCAAACGCTGTTCTTTACTTCATCAACCAACTGCGAACCTCGGATAAGATCCAGAAGCACGAACTAGAAGTTTCTCGTCAGCACGCAAGATCTTGTCTGCACTCAACGCTCGAATTGAGATGGGGCCCATCCGAATAATTGGAATGCTTGCACCCTGATCGCTTGCTACAGCACTCAACAGACGACCCTGGTTTACACGCTCGGTCCTTTACACCTTCATGCTGAACCAAACCTCGGAGGCTCTGGTTCTGCATTCCCCCAGTACCGTCCTGACTCTTTGTGAACTAGAAGCCTGGTGATTCAGGGCGCAGCGACTTCGGCACTCTCGATCAAGAACCTGACCAGATGTTAAGTGCTTCGCACTAACCTGGCTTCCGGCGGCCAGATTGCAACTGCGACGCTCACCGATCCGGCCCGGACGTAGTCTAGCTGTCACATGGTTGTTGGCCGATTTGAATTTATGCATGTGGTCGGAGGTTGCTACTTTATGCGCCTCAATCTCAATATACAGGTGACATATATGTAGGTGGTGCGAATGAATTAAATCTGCGTCTCCTCGTCAACATACACGTCCGAATTCATGGTTATCCATAGCACTCTTTGTAACACTTCGTAAGTCGAACAGGTCGACCTGCTTAACATTGCATTGCATGCAGGCAGGAATCCATTTGATCCCACTCCAAGCCGCGCTTATAGGCTGACTGACGTGCGGGTTCGAATATTATGTGGACTGGTGAAATATCGAATGACCACAGGTATGGCATGGCCCGCGAGGTCGAAGAGCATACAAGTAGTGTAAGTAGAGGTAAATAATTTAGAGGCCACAACATTTCTCAATCTCACACTTGCAAGGAAGCAATACAATTTATGTCCAATTTAACATTTCTCACCATGGCTTAGCAAATCCCGGAGTCGACATGCTCATCTGATGAGCAGCGCGTGCCAGAAGGTCGATCGAAATCGTCGAAAGTAGAAACCGAGACAAACGAGTAGTTTTCGTGATCGACTATGTGCATAAGCAGTGTCCGTGCCAAATCTTAGGTTGCAGTTTCGTTGATAAAAATAGCGGTTTCAACCGAAGAAATCTTTCCGGAAGTAGTCAATCCTGCTGAAAATAATTTGCCCAATGCAAGCATATATGTATGATACAAGTTGGTGAACAACTCTGTCTGCTTCAACAGTAACCGCACCTTTCTACGAACGGTCTTAAGCGGTCCTTGAAACCTGTCCTGAGCAGGACCCTCTGCCGCCGGCACATGCAGGACAAAGCGGCGCTCCGCTCCCCCCCCTTCTACGTGGCCTGTGCTTCCGGCGGTGGCTGCAGCAGGAAGCTGGCCGGGACGGGCACGCCCAGCTGCTCGCACACGAGGCGGACCACGGCCTTGGTCTCGTTGTGCGCGACCGTCATCTTATTGATGGTCACCGCGATCGCGAAGTCGTGCTCCGGGTCGCAGAAGGCGGTGGAGCCGCCCATGCCGCTGTGCCCGAATGCGATCACGCGCCCGCCACTCTGGTCGGCCGCGCTGACGCCCGGGAGGAAGAAGCGGCCGAAGGCCAGGCCCCAGTGCGACTCAGGCGGCACCAGCGGGGCGTACGGCCCCACCCCGGTGATGCCCGCAAATACCTGCTCGGCCGGCCGATCGAACAACCGCCCGTCGCTGCTCAGCGCCACGTCAATGGGGGCGGGCGTCTCCTCCGCAACACTGCCCTTCTTCACACCTCTCCGGAACAGCCCCGGCCGACTTTTGTCCCCTCCTTTCTCGGCCGCTTTTTGGGGCGTTTCAGTGGAGCGATCCCAGCCGGGGTGTGCTGGCGGAATGGCCCCCGCTCGCGCCATGGATGCATAGAAGCGCGCTAGCGCCCGCGCAGAGAAGTGCCCGTTGGCGGACGGGATGCACGCTCGGCGCACGAACAGGTTGTTAAACACCAGCGGAAGCGCCGCCAGGTTTCCTACGTTTCCGATTGAGCTGCTGCCCCCCGGCCCCACCCCCGCTGCCACGTCAGCAGAGCTGCCTGGGCCTGCGTCACCCACCTCGGAGGTCGGACCCGGCGGCTCGACCACGGGCACGGGGGCGTCCCCTGCCGGGCTGCTTGAAGCGGCTGCCCCGGGTTGTGGTGTTACACTCTGACGGGTGGCCAGCGCGGTGGCCAACGCCGTTCCGGGGGTCGGGCGGTCCATACTTAAGCTGGCCAGGCGGGTCTCAACACCTGCGGGAGGGCGAAGACAAGCGGAGTTCACTGGTACCGAAGTTCACCATATAAAGCTTGGGAGCTCTTGCAAGTCTTGTTGCGCCGAAGCAAACACAACACGCTCGTATCCTCAGACAAGCGAAAACTCGTCTTGCTTGTTTTGCAAAGCTGAAGCAAGCAAAGCTATCCGGAACGTACACGACCTTTGGTCTTCGATAAAATGATCGCCGGATCAGTGCCCGCTTTTGTATTCGATCCAGGGCCCTGGGGGTGGGTGCTGGAATGACGCCCCGAACAGGGCTGCCCACCCCGCAAATGTGCGACGGCTATTGGTTGCGGCATTTACAGAAGAAGACCCTGTCAGTGCGCTGCTGACCTGGAGGTATGCCCACGTAGAATTCGCCGTCCAGGCCGAGCGGGGTGGCGAACACGGCCTGCAGCAGCCGCCCGTACGAGTGGCCCGCAGCGGCCTCGATCAGGCCGCCCGCCAGCCAGCCAAAGCTCAAATCTGCGGCCAATTTGGGACCGGACCTCAGCACAGCATACTTGGATTACTCCACATCCTCTTCAGCAGACGAAAGCGGCCAACTGGAAGGAGGAGACGAGCATGGAGATGCAGGACGTATAGCGCTACAACGAGCACCGCAGGACACGTCCTTGCAAGGAGATCCAAACAAGCCACCAAAGGTTCTAAGATCCTGTGTGCGGGCCCAGCTTGTCAAAAGCAGTACACTGGGGGCCCAGGGTATAAGCAAGAAGCAAGTTGAAGGGCCTCTTGGTGGCAATTTGCTGCAATGGAAAAGTAGTCCGAACGACAGCAACGCCTCGATCCTGCGAGGATGCCTCACAATGGTACATCTGGTTCGTGCCGGGCGGCGTCTCGGGCCACGCTTCCTCCATGAGGCGCAGCATGCTCTGCCAGTCGCGCACCACGGTGGGGTTGGCCACCACGTCCTTGGTCCCCGCGTGCGGCAGGCCCGCACGGTGGGTCGCCAGATGGGCCACCTGGAGCAGCCACGGGTCAGCGGGCAGGGGCAACCAGCAGAACAGAGAAACGGCAGGCTCGGGCATTGGCATGGGGAGGGCTTCGATAGAGAGTGTTGAGTTTTTTAAAAGGTCTATTCTCTGCTAGGAACGTAGAAGCCTTTAAGGCGGAGTTTTGACAGTGCCGTCGCTGCCTGAGCGGATAATAGCACTCACGGTGGTAGTCTCCTTGCCGTTCTTGGCGAAGCCGGGCCACACGCTGCCCACCAGCGCGTCGAACGGCAGCTTGCTGCACCAGCACGAGCGGGGCGTCAGACAGGCGGCCGAGTCAGTGGAGGCAGCCACGGGATACGCGCACTGCCTCTCCACGTTCTGTTCCCCGTGATGTAGACCAAAGCATTGTGAGCGAGGGCGGAGACCGCTCGCGGTGCCTCCTCGCAACCAAGCCTCGCCATGCAAGGGGCACTAGGGAAACGCAAACACACTTTGTCTACTTTTAACAGCCGCCCGGTTCAACGATCGTGTGGCGCTCACCCCTTGTCGTGCAGCCAGTGCAGGAGGCCGGCGGTGACGCCCTTGGTGACGGAGAAGCAGGGGAAGAGCGAGTCCAGCTGCACGGGCCGAGGATCGTACCGGCCCAGGCGGCCCCCCGCGCAGTCCACCACCACCGCGCCCCGGTGGTACACGCACACCTGCACAGCGGCACCCGGTCAGGCAGAGGACTGGGGGGAAAGCAGCACAGGCGGTGAAGGAAGAAGAAACCGTGGCGGCGTGCCACACCATCTCCATCCAGCTTCCCACGCCCCATTTAAACATTCGCAACCGTTCCCGCTACCCCCAAAACGCAAACTTCTTTCAACACCTACCTGCAGCCCTTCCCTGAACGAAGCACCAAAACCGTCACCTTGGGCAGAACAGAGATCGGTATACTCTCAGTCAATTACAGCACAAGCAACCAAGCCAAGCCATACAACGGAGCCAGGCAGCAAGGCAGTGTGGCGCAAAGGCAGTCCGGCCGATAATCAGTGGGCCGGACGCTCGCAGCGCAGCAGCGACTAACCTGGATGCCCTGCAGATTGCCGCCCTGCGCCAGCTGGGTGAGCAGCGCGCGTACGCGCTCGTCCACAACGCTGCGAACAGGGGTGGCCAGCACGAACGAGGGGGCCGAAGGGCCGGCCGCAGACTGCAGCTCGCTGCGGCACAGAGGGAGAGGAGCAGCTCAGAGATCGACAAAGGAGCACTGTGCACCGTGCAGAGAGTAAGAGGGGTACGCACGACGAAGCGCACTGGGCTGCTGATTTAGACTGGATTTCAAAACGTGGTCAGGGCTGGCGCTGAAGATGTTCAACTGAGTGTGATGCAAATATGTGGGTTTTGCGGTGGGCTACCTGGACAGCGTGGCCTCCGCAAAGGGGCGCATCACCTCGAGGTACTCGATGCGCGTGTCCAGGCTGCTCGACAAGCCTGCACCCGACAGCCCAGCCCGCCGTCAGCAAAGTCGGCATGCGCCCAGCAAAAGGACGGAGAGAGCAGAGGACCTCCGAAATTTGGAGGGTGATGCCTGTGTCCGTGGAAGAAACGCTGTAGGAAAGGTAGTTTTATCCGTTGCCTGCTAATACACTCTCGCTGCTTTCACTCAACACGCTTCCAGAATAAGCAGCGCGAACGAAAGCGACCGGAACGACGGTCTATACAAGACATGACAGGTTGACCGCGGTGGGTGGTGGCTTCGCACTGCACATGAAGAAGGGCGAGGCTTGACGCTGTACCTCGTAGCAGATTGAGAACGCGGATGAAAAAGACGGCATCCGCCGGGAACGCGTCCACCTGCGACAGAAGGGCCGGGACACCGTCAGCCAGCGGGACGCATCCTTGCCACGCGTGCAAAGAGCCGTGCTCGACCAGGCTTTCGTGTCGGACTCGTCATCCCTGAATTCGGGAGACTCAAAGGTTGTGCGAGGAGGCCACACAAGACGCGAGGCATGGGACAGTTGGAAAGCGACAAGTTAACATATGAATGACCGTGTGCTGCAGCTGGCTTGACATGTTGCAGACGTCAGCGGCCGTGCTGGCCGCCCTGGCAAGGACGGGGCGGGGCAGGCTAACCGGGTTCCTGCGCAGGCCCTTGTCCTCGTCGGCCGCGCGCTTCTGCTCCTCCTCGCGCTCCTGCCGCCACTTCTCGAATTCGGCCTGCGAGCGGCCACGCAACCGAACTATGGGCTTAGCATCCGCTCGTTCATGCCCGGCTTACACATCTGAACCGAGGCACATACCCTACGTTTCCAGAGTTGAGCTTTGCGAGGACTCCTTCACAGAAGCAGTTGTACGTGGCCTGCAGCATGTCAATGGAAGGGGCGTGCGCTGACCTTGGCCTCCTGAGCGGGGGCGGCCCTCCGGAAGAAGAAGTTGGTGAGCGCCAGGCTCTCCTCGGGCATGTCGCGGTTGAGGCGCAGGCCCATCTCCTCGAACGAGCTCAGCAGCGCCGACATGTCCATCTGCAATGCACGCAAAGCCCAGTCAGATTCGGCAAGAGAAAGAGTGCGCCTGATCAACCCAGACCAGGAGGGTTTACTAGCCTGAAAGGACCGGCCTCCACTTGACAATCTAGATTTCACACATGCTGTAAACAGTCGAGAAAGCATGGTGGGTCCTACAGGAGACAGGGCGAACTGCAGCGGGGCTGACCTCGGCCGCGGCTAAGAGCTGTTTGGCGAGGGCGACCTTCATGGCCGGGCGCAAAGTCTTGGTCAGCCCGAAGTCGAGCAGGATTGGAGCGTGGGGAGGGACCTTCGAAACTGCACCACACAGGATCGGAGGCACGATCTCAAGGCAAGAAGGCAGGCCAGAGAGGAGAGACTCGAGGAGCCAGGGGCGACTGCAGGCAAGCCGACTGCAGGACACATCGGTGGACAAAGCGACGGTTTTCGCTGAACAGGCTTACCTAGGAAGTTGCCAGGGTGCGGGTCTGCGTTGAAGAAGCCGTCGACATAGATCTGCCGCGCATAGGCACGGCAGATGACCTCCACGAGGCGCTGCCGGTCCACCCCGTGCGCGTCCAGCGCGGCGCGGTTGTTGAGCCGCAGCCCGTCAAAGAACTCGAGCAGCAGCACGCGCTGCGTGGCCCGCACCACCGCCGGCAGCAGCACCTCTACCCGCGTCGCAGCGCTGGCATCCGCGCTCAGGCTGGTGCGCACGCGGTCCGTATTGGCTGCGGCGCACGAAGATAGTAGGCGGCACAATCATTTGTGGCATCGCTGAGGCTGGTTTGCGTCTTCTTCGAACCACTGCGAGACAAGCTGCCACGTCTCTGGCCCCTCTGGCCGGGAGGTTCATCCTGACTACCGAGAGACGACCTCTGCAAGCACAGCCTTCAAGGACCTGCTAATACCACGTAAGCATGGTCCCGTTTTCTCGACGGGCCCAGTTGAAACGGGGGCGGCTTACCCGCTTCCACCTCAAAGTTGAGCTCCTTGGGCACCTCCGCACACCTGCAGAGGGAAACCGAAACATCGAACTACATTCCGAAGTTCGAATGCCAAAAAGCAACGGTGTCATGCGTCAACATGGCTGGAAAATGGCGCCAATAGCAGACCTTGCCGGAAACAGAACGACACAACAATGCTCAAGGTTTCGTTGAAGCTCTGAGAAACAAGGATGTGACGGAAAGAGGCTGACGGATTGCCGACAAGATGCACGCAGCAGCAACTCACCATTCATCAATCATGGGCCCGAAGTTGTACTGCGGGTCCGACCAGGCTATCCACTCAACGATGGTGCGCAGGTTGGACAGATCCTGCAGGAGCACACCCAGAGTGAAGTGATACGCGCTTTCCTCAGAACTGGCAACCCCTCAACAACCTGCAGCGCACATGAGACGGGTCCACACGGCCAAGCACAGCAACACATGCAACCCACCCCAAGCACCCAAGTCGTACCAATCGAAGGGCTGGCATTCCAGAATAAGCAGGGCAGTGACAGCAGGTGAGGGGCGGGGCCACACCTGGAGGATGACCTCCTTGATGCCCCGGTGCTGCACCTTGACCACCACCTGCTGCCCCTCCAGCGTCACCGCGCGGTGCACCTGACACAAGACGGGCTGTCAGACCGCAGGCCAGCGGTCTTGAAAACTTCAAAGAGAAGAGCGCCCATCTTAGACGCTGTAAAACTCTGGACCTTCAAAGTTTTGGGCAATGAACCGATGGCTCATGACTGACAAATTCCAGGAATCTGGGAGTAGCTGGTCATCGTAAGTTGAAGTTCCAGGCGGGCCCATGACAGCTGCCCATGTACAACACAAGGGAAAAAGGTGGTGCTATCAGCCTCTTTCAGTAATCAAATGACAGACTTACTGTGGGGAATAATAAATCAACCAGAGCTCTGTTTCTGGTCGAAGTTCACTTTATTAACGACCTAAAGAAATTCCGCAACAAGCCGTCTGGCAATCACCTGGGCTATGGAGGCTGTGGCCAGTGGCGTCTCATCGAATGATGTGAAGAGGTCCTGGACCTTCCCCCCCAGCTCCTCCTCCACAGTCTCTACAATCTCCTCCAAGGGGCGCGGGGGCAGCGCATCCTGCAGGAGCTTTAGTCTGCTGATGTACGCCTCCGGAAGCACGTCCGCGCGCGAGGACAGATACTGCCCAGCCTTCACCTGCGCAAGGGGGGGTGCCGCCCAAAGATGAGTCAATTGTATCCTCAGATCTGATCATGGAGCACTCTGTCCAGGTGACGGGGCAGGCAGGCAGTGAGGAACGGCGCGTCCAGTATCAAGTGGTGGCACTCACCCAGAGGCCCTCAAGGGCGCAGATGGTGGAGAAGATGCGCGCTGCGTTGCGCTCGTGGGCTGCCTCGTAGAGCGCGTCCACCTTGGCGCTGTCCTTGATCCACTTGCTGCGCCGCTGCAGCCGCTGCACGCAGCAGAGGCAGGCCAGTCAGGGGGCAGGGCAGCCCATGCATGGACACAGGATGGGACGGCCACCATCGCAGATCACTGCAGGGTCAAAGAAAAGCTACAGGTGGGGGGGGCAGCTAGGGCAGCGAATGCTTAGAACGGCCTTAAGACCAGCAAGGGAGGCGCCAACAACATACCTTGTAGTCGAAGAAGACAGCAATGGCCATTGCAAACACTTTCAACCTTCTCCCCAGCAAGGTGCCAGACCCTGTGCATGGCAGCAGTTTGGCCCTTGCCATGTCCTCGCTCCGCCTGAGCAGCAAAATCTTGCAATACACCAGTCAAGGATGTCCCCGGCTACGGACACAAGCAGAGGCAAGCACAAGGTCCCAGCAGGTCTTGGCCGACGGTAGCTGACCTGCCCAACAGCGCAGGCGGCAGGAACGCCTTAGCAAGCAACTTGAGCCACCCAGTCCGACTTGCACACAGGTGATCAGAGAGTGACGGGGTTGGAAGCTTCTCTGTGCCAGCCAGACTGGACTCAGTCTCCAGTCTACGTTCAACCTGAACGGCTGAGGAGGACGTCATGGACGTTTGACGACTCATTGCCATTCGCACCATTCAACTTTTGACGGACGTGGTGCGATAATCTCTGGTTTCGATATTCTGAGCTCCACAGATCCTGCAGTTTAATCAGAGGTAGAGGGTTATGGTACCGGTAAGGTCGAACGGAGGTCTTACATAAACCGGATTCTGTGAATTAAGAAAACAAAAGAAATGTTTCTTGTAGAAGTCTGGTGCGAACTGTCAGTGTCATGCCTCTGTTAGGTCTATGGAGATCACTTTTAATGCAAGATTGGTCGCTCCGCGAAACGGCTGTCGTTTCGGATAACCGGACTAACGTCTCCAAAACCGGTGATTTTCTGTGCCAAAACTATACATGTGGCATTTAATTGAACCGTCAAGAGCTTACCGTTCTTGTGAGCTCTCGAAGGCTTCGAAGCATTTTCGGGCGACCACTTGTCGGGCCAGCAGCTCGAGAACTGACGTCGGTCGTCTGTTTTGTCAGTGGCACTGTGGCAGTCCTGAGTGTTTGAAGTTGTACTTGTATTACCGTACTGCTTTTTAATATCGGCACCTTCGACGCAAAATAATTAATTATGAAACGTTTTAAACTTTCGGCAGACCCAACGTTACCTGCTAAAAAGAACCGTTATCGACCATTATCGCCCTTGGATAATTATTTAAAATTTTCAGCAGGCCAAATAATTATTTATTTTTCGCCGAAAGCAGTACGGTAGTTGTAGTTCCGTATGTTCAAAGTTCACAGCATATGATAATGTGGGGCATGTCACCGTGAGAGCCTGGGCGCAGCAGCCAGCTTTTCATTTGGAACGTTTGAACAAAGTGAGAAGTTTGCTTGGGAGGGCTAGAAGCTCTTTGTCTTTTCTTGGGTTGCCGAGGCTGTTCGTGCAGACGAATGCTTCGAGCCTCCTGAGCTGGGGCGAAGATGATGGCGACTGACAATTTCGAAGCGACAAAGATCATTGGGAAAGGGTCGTTTGGTGACGTCTATCGGGGGTAAGGCTTCGAAGATTTTGAGTCAAAAGCAAGCTGAGGCCCGAATGCTGCACGCAATGCCCGGCGTCCTTGAATCATTGTTGTTGGCGATTTGTCTTGCATCTGGGAGGGCTGCTAGTCACCCCTTGTGCACTTGCCTTGCAGGGTGGATAAGGCGACGGGGAAGGATGTAGCAATCAAGATCATTGACCTTGAAGAAGCGTAAGCAGCTCCAGCCCTTGAAGTAGACCCACAATTTGCCAGGATGTTATTAGACTTCAAGCCCCAACAATTGCCGCTGCATTGTGTCAGCAGTCAGATGTCAAGATGCTTGCCATATCTTCTCGCAGCTCAGATATGGCAATCAGCAGCACATCTCCATTCACCTGTCCTGCTCGCATTCGTGCAGGGAAGATGAGGTTGACGACATCCAGAAGGTTAGTCATCATGTCTGCCCATCATCAGACCAGTCGCATCGGCAAGCTAGAGGGCCTTCCTTCATGTGCATGAGGTGCACTCCTTGTTTGCACCTTGTCTTCCTCATTCCCTGCTACCAGCTGACTGCTTGCTGCGTGTGCTGGTGGTGTGCAGGAGATCAGCGTGCTGTCGCAGTGCCGCTCCCCCTATGTCACCGAGTACTATGGGGCCTACCTGCAGGGGACCAAGCTGTGGATCGTCATGGAGCTCATGGCATGCTCCGTTGCAGACATGGTACGCGCTATGCCACCTTACTAGCCTCTAGCTGTTCTGAGCTTGCTTCTCTTCCTCGCACGTTACTTACATGAGCACCAGGTTGAGAGCAACTTTGCGGCTGCCCCGTCAGCAATCCTGACAGCTGTATCTTCCTGTGCAGCTGGAGACGGGCCCGCCCCTGGACGAAGCCGCCATTGCGTGCGTGCTTCGAGATCTTCTCAAAGCTTTGGACTACCTCCATGGCGAGGGGAAGATACACAGGCAAGCGCCACAAAGCAGCTGGGATGAACTCGAACTCGGGCAAATCAACGAGCTGTTGTGCAGGCAGCAATTGATACACTGGGCCTGCATGATGACAATCTGCCCCGTAACCTGCTCCGCGGCCTGCTTTTCTGCAGGGACATCAAGGCGGCCAACATTCTGCTGACCAGTGAAGGCGAGGTCAAAGTGGCAGACTTTGGGGTGTCCGCTCAGCTGACAAGAACAGTGTCAAAACGGAAGGTAAGCTGTCTTCTGTACGCCGCTTTCGTAGGCGTCACCCTTTGCTCCTTGATGTAGAAAGTGTGCAAGTTCTGGTCAGTTTTGATGACGATGACGATTTCAGATTGCCTGCGGCCACTTGAAACTGGATGGCGTGTAAGTTTGTGCTTTTGGTGTCGTTTTGATCACCTGCGTACTTTTTTCTAACGTGGAAGAAAGTTGCAAAAAGAGATAGGAGGCCACATGTCTGCCCTTGAAGAGGCCTAAAGTCGAGCCTCTCTCAGTTTCCACTCTTTGCACTCTCCTTCATCCCGGACTCCTTCATCCATCATTCTTCATGTCACAAGACTGATTGGAGGCTTCGTTTGTCCTTTTTGCCTTTTGCAGACTTTCGTTGGGACTCCATTCTGGTGAGCCCTCCTTCCTGTGCCCCTACAACGGGCCAGCCTGTCATCGATGTCAGCCTTGCTGCCGTCGACCGCACTGCCTTCCCTTAAGGGAAAGCTGGCTCCTGACAAGCTTTACCCTTCACGTGCATACTTCCCATTGCCTATGGCTCGGTTGCCTGCCCTGAGGATTGCTTTACGCAATGTGCAGGATGGCTCCCGAGGTGATCCAGCACTCGGAGGGCTACAACGAGAAAGTAAGGTGGACATTTGAACAAATGAGCAATCCCTGGCCCCTTCGAATCCTCCGCACCTCAAGATGCGCCTTTTTGGAGGCTTGACGGTTGCAAGCCCCCCTATTTTGCCACAAAGTATATTTGGCAAGGCCCGTTTAGTTCGCATGAAATCTGATGAGGGTCGAGTCAGTAATGTCGCTAAGTTTTCAACGTCCTGTCGTGCTCTCCTACAGCCGTTTCTCTACCACTCCGGCATATTTCTCATTATGCCCCTGCCTCCGCTCTGACTAACTCTAGGCGGACATCTGGTCGCTCGGCATCACTGCCATCGAGATGGCCAAGGGCGAGCCCCCCCTCGCCGACCTGCATCCCATGCGCGTCCTCTTCCTCATCCCCAAGTCCCCCAGCCCGCAAGTGAGCACGCGCGCCGTCGAAGTGGAGGCCCGCCCCGTGCCTGCTCACTTGACTTCCTACCTTTCGTGATGATTGTTCGCTACTATGTTATGCGCTGCTGCTGTCAGTAGCGAGCTTGCACATCAGGCTGTACTGCGGTTCCTATGGCGTGTGTAGCTTGACTTAGCGCCGTTGTTGACGCAGCTGGACGACCATTTTTCACGTCCATTCAAGGAATTCGTCGCCCTCTGCCTCAAGAAGGACCCTGCCGAGGTGAGCACTGCGTCAGCGGGCAGCTGGGACTGCTGTCTGACACCCCAGCTTGTAAGAAAGGACGCAGCAGGTTACGCCGACTGTGACTGTCTTGAGGCGGAAGACATGGCGGATTCACTGTGACAGACTTTGTTCGGTGCCATGCAGCGGCCTACCGCCAAAGAGTTGTTGAAGCACCGCTTCATCCGGAGCGCCAAGAGACCTGCCAAGCTGCTGGAGAAGATCAGGTACGGTACAGATTGGGAGACTGCGCTTGCCGACTTGTTCCAAAACACTGTCCGGCGCAGGCTATTACGTTTCGTAGAGTTACGTGGATTCGCAACTGCATTGAGCTTCTATGGGCATGCAAACGAAGTGCTGCTAAGGACGACCCTGCTGGTGTGCATGCAGTGAGCACGTGAGTCAGCGCGAGGCGCAGGGGCTAGCAGCTGGCAGCCCCGTCCAAACGCGCATCGCGCAGGCCACACTTCCCAGGTGAGCGCCACGTGTCACGGCCGCACGAAAGCCAACGGGGACATTGCCCTCAAGAGGATAGGAGGCAGAATGACTCTAGAATGGGCGGCCACCGCGAAAGCTTGGAGAATCTGAAGCAAATTTCTTTTGAAGCCTCAAGGCTTCAAAGCGCGACTTTCAAACGATCCTGGACCATTCTTATATGTTTGGCAGACTTGGTTCTGCTCTCCGGTCTGACTTAGCACACGCCCTTCCGCCCAGGCGGCCTGCTACCAAGGACGCGAGCTGGGACTTCGGCAGCCTGGTCCCGCCCCCCCGGGCGGCCGCGGCATCCCCCGGGACATCTCAACCGAGCACGCCCACTCTCGGCTTCGGGACGGGCACAGTGCGGGCCAGGCAGCCGCCCGTTGCCCCGGGGGGCTGGCAGGAAGAGGCGGGCACTCCTAGCGCCGGGCCCGGCGAGGGTCCGTATCGGGAGGCGGGGAGTGGAGAGGAGCACTTGGAGCGAGCGCCGTCGTTCTCGGATACGGTGGGGGGGAGCACGACAGAGGCAGGGGGGCCCACGGGTGAGGAGGAACGGAGGATTAGCATTTGATGGCTATCTGGAAATGAATGTGGTCTTTGTGTCCCGGCTCGCGGTGTCTATAAAGGATGACTCATTCACCAGAAAGTTCGTCAGAAAGGTTCATATAAATATTTTTAAAGCAAGAGCAGGACAGCTGGCCCTGGAATTAAGCAGCAGTTGCTCTTTTGATCTTCCCTGCTTTTCGTTAGTTCCAGTGGGGGACGGCCTTTGCGTCCTACTCGGTGATTTGTCCCAATTCCCTTCTGTCGTTCTTAGGGGGCTCCGTCTTCTCCGGCACCTGGGCCCGGCTGCGTGAGAGCGACGATGACGGGGCTGCTGCGGACAGCATCTCGGGCACGGTGGTGGTGCGGACGGGCGGACGGGAAACAACGGGGCGGGAAGCTCCCGAGGTGCGCGGACGACTCCTTACCTGCTGTGTAGTATGGATCGATCCAGGAGGATTAGTCAGGAGGCAAGTCCGGGCAACTCGGCGGGGGCTGGGGGCTTTAGGCAATTGTTGAGATTCCAACGATGAGCTGTGGCCGTTGACGCAGTCGGCCGGATATCAAGTGGGACAACATCGCCGCTCCCGTGTGTGTGACCCCTGTCCTGGCAGTGAGCGGCCCTCCTTCGTCGCACCCGTGCACGGCTCCCTGCGCAGCAGCATGCTGATCTGTCGCCGGCTTGTCCATGCAGGCGCTGGGCCCTGCTCGGTCACGGTCGCCGGCCCCTTTCTCGCGCTCCATCTCCGAGCGGCCCCCTACGCCCCCCCTGGGGGACCTGCGCCGCGCCTCCTCGGACGCCCCCGGCCGGCAGCCCCCTCCGCTGCAACGCGAGGACAGCGCCACCAACCTCGCCGAGGTGACGTGCCGAGCAGAGCTTTGCAACTGCGTACTGTTGTTCTTGCTGGTGCTGGCCCGCACCAGCCAATTGTGAGTGAAAGCCTGTTTCTGAAATTGACGTACAATTCGCTCTTTTTGGGCGATAAGCCAACTCCCATGGTTTGCCGCTGCCTCTAACGGCTGCTGTTGCGGCGCATACAGGCCAGCGCTGCCCTGGGGCGGCGCAAGCCAGGCCTGAGCTGGAAGGGCGACTCCGACGAGCGCGACCGTCGGTCGCCCTCCCCGGCAGCGTCTCCCCGCCCCTACGAGAACGGGGCCAGGTGCGCGCACTGCGCGACAGTGCTCCTGCAGTCGCCCCTCTTTTGTCCTTTCATTGCACTTTCCCTTCTCGGACTGGAATGTGTCCCGCAGCTTGGCACCGTCTCTGCCTGCCACAGCTGCTGGGCTCTCACGGTGCCCCTCCTGCTGCAGCGCTGCGCGCAGTCCCTCGCCTGCCAAGCCCGCCAATCGGGGCCGGGGATCGGCCCCGGGTTCATCCAGCAGTCTGCTCAACCTGGTGCTGGTTCCTGCAATCAGGGAGGTGAGGAAGGTCGCGAGACAACGTTTGTTGGGAACAGGAAGCAGCATACAGAACGGCAGACTCATCTTTTTGAGGTCATTGGCAGAAGCACGTTGACATCTTTCTTATAAGCGCTGCTCTAAGTTGGATTGCTCTGTTCGTCACTGAAAGGTACGAACGAGGGGAGAGTTGTGCTCATCTCCCCTTTCCTTGTTTCTGGGCAGGCCGGGGAGGCGGTGAAGGGGGATGCGGCGGCTCGACGGGCGGCCGCTGCGGTGAGCGAAGCGGTGGTCGACTTCGAGCGGGCGGCCCCCGGGGGCAGCCGGGCCTTGCTGCACAGCGTGCTGCACAAGGTGGCCAGGTCAGCGCCGCACCATTATTCGGCTGGAACCAGCTCTCTTGTGCTGACACGGAGACGTAGATAGGACTTGGCGCGGAAGCCTTGCACACCTTCTTGGGGTCTGAGAGCGACGTGTTGGGTGGTCGCTGTAGGTCGGACGACCCCGCGGTGCGTGACTTGCGGACGCGGGCCTTCGAGGGCCTCCATGTGGCGCCTGCTCCGCCGCTCGCCAAAGAAGACCTGGCCGGGCTGCCGGCCATTGCATCCTTCCTCCTCAGAAGGTGAACAAAACGGTCCGCTTACAATCTCAGTTTTCTTGATGTGACCCTCTGTGCATTTGCATCCGTCGGGGAGGGCCCGCGTGCACTATCTTTGCCTCCCTTATTGACATGACATGTTCCTAAAACGGTAAGGCACTTTTATTCGTGATCCGATTGGCCGAAACTCTTACCGGGTTGACCGCGTTGACCGAGATCAAAAACTTGAGCGACTAACCTCCTACCAACCCCAGCAGATTCCTGCTTCGGAAACTCAAAGAACTTTTAACCCCATACTAAACCCCACATGGCAAAACTTCCAAGGGGGAGGACATTCTAGTTGGATTGGAACACCTTTACAAGTCATGTTGAGCGGATGGCGGTGCTCGGGTGTGTCTGGTGCGTAGTTTCATGTGTGGCGAAACATAGGGGACTGACTCCAGCTGAATGATGTAGGTGGCAAGCGCAAACGGCGGCAGAGTTTTCGTCCACACCGGTCCAATAACGCATGATGAGAAGTGGACCTCGACAGGCAGCTGTCTTGGATGCGAGCTTGAAGCAAGCTAGCTCAAGTCAGGCACTCTTTTCAGACCGACATGCTCTTTTTCGCCAGCGAGTGGGTCATGTGATCACAAGCAGAATTGACGGCCACTTAGATGCCTCGTAGAGAACTTCCTGCGAGCTGGACGGCAACTGTCAAGCGTCCATATGATTGTCCCAAACACAGGGCCACAACCGAGCTAAGAACTCGCTTGCAGGCCATGTGAGATTGTGCACAGTTGATTCTGGAATAGACATGTTCAGGGTATGCAGACAGTATTCAGTCCGCCATCCTCACGCAACAGATGTCGGGAAATGACGTCGTCCACCAATTCGGAATGACCAGAGCGAATCCAACTGACTTGATCGTGTGAATGTTCAGGAGGCGCCTCATTTCGGCTGTCATTGCGATGCAACTGAATGCATTCTATGGCTACTTGATGTATCGATGTACAATTTTGATAGTCCGTTGATATTTATGCAAGTTGTGTTTACTGCTTAATGAAAGGGTTCATTACAAACGCGAGCGGGCCCATGGAGAGTTCAATGCTTTTGCAAGGCTTCAGGGCACATGCTTATAATAATATTGAAAGAAAAGGAACTGTCGATTATGTAGTATGTCAGGGCCGCGCATGAGCTCGCGCGCAGATAATATGAACATAACATGAACATATGCAACCAAGTCGGATCCGACCTTCAAGCTTTCCAGGCCGATCCGTGCATACGTGCACAATTGCATGATGGCTCCCTTATATGGAGCTGGGCGTAGATCATTGATCTGACATGAAGGTCCTTAAGCAACCCGGGAGCATGTGTACTGCTAACTGGTCTGAGATCCGCTCCATATTCCCTAGGCAGGGCTGCAGATTATCGTGTGATGGCTGGCTAGGTCCAGCGGAGTGGCAGATGATTTCGATCTCTCTAACTCATCGGCTTGGCTTTCCAGCAGTGTTGTCGGTCATTTGTCAGGACATAAAAGGTCAATTGCTGCAATGTACAGTTCTAGGTTAACCATTTTCGCTTTCCTACGAAGGTGTTCGACCCACTCCCAAGATCCACTGTGAGTATCATGACTTGCATCATGTCACAATCTTGAGGCCATGTCTGGCGTAACCATCCAGAGCCTCACACCATACGCTGAGCTGTGCCTATCAAAGTCCCGATCTTTGAGGAGTCCAGCCAAGCCCGGCCTTTGGTGTTCTAAGGGACTGGGTACTGTCAGCCCAACTCTGACCAGGGGAGGCGATACCCGAGGCCTTAATACCTTGTGCCCAGAAGGGGGCGGAGAAGCTTCCCTCCCCTCTTCCTGCCCTCCCGCTGGTGCAGGTGACTGGGGAGCTGCCGCTGGCTGCAGCATAGTCAAGATTGTAATGAGGCAACACAGACCATGACTGGCAGTAATGCTTGATTGATTCAAGGTTGTTTCCCCCCCGCCAAGCTTTCAAAGGTGCCAGCTTCCAAGACGATGGGCACGATCAGGATAAGAAACTGGCAAGGCTCAAGCAGAGAAGTCATGGAGCGCACAAGCGGGCATCCCGTAAAGCATCTAAATAGGGCTGCAAGAATCATGGGACTAAGGACCAAAAGTGTTTCTCACCTGCTCAGGACTCCTTTCCATGTCATCTGCTGCCTCACCGTGAGCTTGGGTAGAGCTACACGGAGAGCGGTCGGGCAACATTAGATCAAGCTTGATGAACTGCATCGCTGCCTCAACACATGTCACCAACCGAAACGTCGTCCATTGCAGGGTCAGCTAAACCATCTCTTATGAACCAGACCCCTTACCTTGCTTCCCCATTCTCTTGGCTGGCAGACTGATGTGCCGACGGTAACACATTGCCAACATCAGCACGCGCCTCTTGGTCGTCCTGACCTTCGTTATCAACACCTGAGTCTGGACCATTTAGTGGACCGGGGTCTATTACCACCTCATTAGCCTCGTCAGACTCTGCATTCCCCTGTCTGACTTCAAACACGTCAGCAACACCGGATCCTATGGTATGTGGCGTTTGCTCTTCTGGACTATCACTGTCAGGCATGGCTATCGGATCTACAGAGCTCGATTCCTCTGCATCTACTATTTCCAGAGGCTCCACATTCTGGTTCATTGCTGAAGATAGTGCTGGTAGGCCACTCGCAGCGCTAGCACCAGACAACTCTGGACTTGTGCAGACACCATTGAGCTGCTGCTGGCACGGCTCTCCATCATCTTCCGCACTGTCAACAGCTTCAGCCTGAGAGTCCTCGGCCATCTCTTCTTCCTCGATGGACTGCAGCAGTTCCCCACTACTGGCTCTTTCTACTCCGAAGCCCGTGGCACTATATCTGACATCCGGAAGGTCACCCTTTCCCTCGCCTTTCCTATATGCTCTGCGCCTGCGCCCTTTCACTAGCCGCTGCAACACAGCGCCTGCAATGAGCCCGGCTAGAACCCATTGGGGAAACATTTCCTTATGCAGAATGGCGTCTGAACTCAAGTGATTCCACGAAGATGAAGTGGGACCAGCCCTTCCTTTGCAAGCGCCTGTTTCCCTTTTCCAAGCTCTTCGAAGACCTTTGAACATTGCACATTGTGTCACTGTGTGATTGTGGTTTGGATAACCCAGATATCGAGACAAAGATGTCATGGTTCAAATTCTCATTCTCTGGCGACAAAGAGGCCCAAGTTAGAAAACCGTCGCCACCGGGCCCAGAAACGTCACTTCGCCGCGCTAGAAAACTTAAAACTTTGTCGGCTCTTGCTGGCAGTGAGCTAAAGAACCGTGAAGTTTCCGGGGAGGTCCTGTCACTGCGCCCTGTTTGGGACAATACCTAAGGAACAATTGGAATCTGGGTTTCCAAGAATGGAGCTACCTACCTACCAATTTGCAGCTCAACAGAACTTGAAAGCTCTCAGCAATTCCTCATTTGATTTTTCACCACCCTGTTGCCATTAGCAAGCGCACATGTAGATTTGAACTTTGAAGGGCGAACTGGTTAGGTCCTAGTACCTACACTTCGTTGGGCCGCTTGCTGCGCTCCAGAAAGGTTCAATCTCCAGAGAGCGCCGCTTGAGGGCATTATGGCAGCTCCGGCTTGGAAGAAGTCTGATGAATACTATGTGAGGAGGCTTGAACCTCCTGGAAGGCTTACACTGCAAGTGCAGATGTTAAGAATGCGATCTAGCATTCAAACAGCATCACAGCTTCTGCACCATTTCCTTTTGCATCTTTCTGATGGCAGGAGAGCTGACGGTCGTCCTGGAACAATTATTGAATGATTCTGTATTCTTCCAGGCTGGGCTCGGCATCTCCCATTCAGAGTCTATCGAGACAACAGCCCGAGGTATGTCACCCATCACGTTTTTGACGCCTCTCCTGTTGTATCTTCTTATGAGAGCTTGGGTTGATATTACACAAGATTGGCTACACAGGAGTATTTGGCAGCTTCTTTTCAAAGAAAGTGCAGGGAAGCCCTTGGTGAGGTCTAAACAAATGCTCTTAGCACGGTGACCCTGCTTCAGGCCAACCTTGTCGACATCTCTTACCAACTTACCTTCTTGTGCCAGGTTTGAAGCTCTTTACACAACGTTGGTTGCCCGAGGGGGAGGCGAAGGCTCTTGTGTGTATAGTGAGTATAATATACATGCTGGCCTGCTTGCTTGCCCCGACTCTTCTGGTCTCTTGCCTTTCGTAGCTTCTTAAGATTCTTCTCTGGTAGCTTCTTAAGGTTCTCAAGGATGTAGTTGCTGTCGAATCCTCCATTGTGCTGTTTGTATTGGGTCCTGGCTTAGTCCCTCTCCACTGTTGTTACAGGTCCATGGGTATGGGATGGAGAGTAGCATCTACTTTGGAGGTGGGGCACTCATTCTCTCCCAGTGATTGCCAGGCTTGTCCAGAGGGCGCAGGCACCATGCTCAATTCTGGTGCAAGCGGAAGCCCAGTACCAAACTGCTGTCCAGTACCCTGGCCTCAGAGCTTTGCCAGACTTTCATATACATACATATGCATCCGCTCAATTTTGCACCTCGATGTCCCTGCATTATGTCCCGTGGTCTGGGGCCCCAGATCCGAACAGTGCTGCTACATGGTAAGCAGTCTCCAAGGTCGTTGTACTGCCCACGCAATTTTCCCCTCACGGAGGTTGCTAACTCGTCAGCTGGTCTCATGGACCCAGCCTCAGAGGCTGTTGCCATTGCTCAGAATGCAACCCCAGTGCCTCTGCAGGAGTTGGTGAACGCCTCGCCAAGGATGGGTTTGCAGCCGTTGCCCTGGATCACATGGGACATGGACAATCTGAAGGTGGCTAATCCTCTTCCAGCTGTGTTCTGCTCAACCACTCTGATCGCTTCCCCAAAAGTTCCGTCATCAGAAGATCAGAGGCGTGATTCTGCTGGCAGACCTGTACTTATTGTGCCTTTGAGATACAGATTCCATGGTACAATTGGATTGGTCTGGTGACGGTTGTATTTTGCCCATATTTGTGAAGTGACTACTAATGTAGTAAGGTTATCCATGTCTATGAGAGCCAACAAGCAGTCGACAGTTACCAAGTTACAATCGAGAGCTCCGTCGTAATACTTCTTCTCAACAGGGGTCGGCATAAAAGTTCAAAAATGTCGGCTCAAAGCCGGGTACTCCAGAATCCAGTCGGCTTATCTAGCCTTGACACCTAGGTATATCTCCCCGGCTTCAACCCTGCCGCCTCGAAGTATAGGCCAGCTTTCAGCCGGGTACTTTTCTTTTCAGTCGGCTTTTCAAGATTTCAGAACCCCCCCCTCAATGGTTTGGCCGGCTTTCGCCGACCCCTGCTTCTCAACTTCGAAAACATGTGACTGACTTTGAAACTTTCTTTACTTGCTATCTTCTTCGTGTTTTTCTAATTTGAGCGCTAAATTATTTGTCAGACGGACCCTCAGCAGATTCAGCCGTGAGGCTCCTCTGAGATATCATGAGGCTTTTGTAGTCTCCATCCTGAGCAATAGTCAAAGCAAGTTGAAAATATGGAAGAGGATTTTCAGCTTTTCCCAGAGCTGGCTGAGTCTGTAACCTTACCTTGAACTACCCTCGGTGGTGCAGGTGAACCCGTCTACTTCAAGTCCCTGGACATCCTGGTCGACGACGCACTCTTCTTCTTCAACAAGGTCAAAGGTGAGCTCGACAATACTCAAATCTGCTGCGGAGACTTTGTCATGCTCGTTCTTCCTCAGCCGCACTGGTTGTCGTTCTGATCTGTTCTACGTGCTGACACTTTCAAGTTTGCCTGCATTAGTCTGGCCACCCCTACACTCATCTCGGCAACAAACTGGATACGGACTCACAAGATGCACGACAGGACACAAGCTCGACTGGCACAACACCTTTGCGTTTGGTCCCTTGCAGCGGAGTACGCCGGCAAGGGCAGCTTCCTGTTTGGAGAATCCATGGGTGGCGCGATCTGCCTGCTCATACACCGGAGAGAGCCGGACGCATGGAAAGGTGCAGTGCTTCTAGCACCCATGTGCAAAGTGAGTACCTATGCGTTATTTCATCTTCTTTCTCTCTGATGAGGTTCACAATTAGAAGGAAGTATTCGAGAGTGACCAAGCCGGGTGCCGCAATCCATGGGGGTGGGAAACGTCAGGTTCTCAGCAGTGGATCCGACTGCGCTCCGTCACCCAAACAATGATCTCTCAGAAGGATGTCGACTGCTTCTTCGACAGGTTTTGAAGCACAACTCGCGAAAATGGGTCGCTTTACCCTGTCCCGCGTGTATGACTGCAGATCTCGGAGAAGCTGAAGCCGCCCCCGATCGTGACGGCCATCATGTCCAAGCTAGCGTTCGTGGCGCCCAAGTGGAAGATCGTTCCAACAAAGGACATCATCGAGACTGGTTTCAAGGAGCCCGCCAAGCGGGAAGAGGTGACTCACGCGCCCTCCACAGTAGCTTTGCGCGTGGCTGAAGCATGCTCGGTGCGTGATATGATCTGCGATGGAAAGACAGGCGACCTGTTGTGAGTGGCCGTCAGGGCTCATTTCTGAACCGTTCGCAGCTCCATTGCAGCTGCGTAAAAACCCGTTCGCGTATCAGGAGAAACCCCGGCTGGGCACCGCCCTCGCGCTGCTGCGCGCCAGCAGCTCCATCGAGCAGCGCCTAGACGAGGTGAGCCGCCGGGGGGACGCTCCGCACCGCCGAAAAGCAGATTAGCTTGAATAACTGGCGGGAGCAGAGGACGAGGTGTTGCTGTAGCTGCCCGGTGGTTTGACTTACAAGCCGGGCTTGTACGACACTAGAGAGCTCACGCTTTTTCGAGAATGCTTCTGCTCCGGTCGGTTTGCGGCGTGTGCCGTAACCATTCGACAAGCCTCGAGATCACCTTACGGCGTTCTTTCCGGCCGCCAGAGCACGGTCTCAGCGGCCTGCCACAACCATACCTTGACATGCGCTGCTGAAGATGGTAGGAACGACCAAACGCAAGACGGAACTGACGGACTCATTGCGCGCAGGTGACGATCCCGTTCTTGCTGCTGCACGGCGGCGCGGACGCGGTGACGGACCCGGAGGTGTCGGCCGCGCTGCACGACCAGGCCAAGAGCTTCGACAAGACGTTCAAGCTGTACCCCGGCATGTGGCACGGCCTGCTTACGGGCGAGCCGGACGACAACGCCGAGCTGGTCTGGCACGACATCCTCGCTTGGCTCGACCAGCGCAGCGGCGCAGCGGCGGGGCCCACGCAAGCGGACCCGGCGGCCAGCACGGGCGCCACCATCAAGACAGGAGAGTCGGAGGAGCGGGCTATCCAAGATCATGCCGACGTCAAGGCTGCTGTCGCGACCCTCTAACCCACCCGTCGAAGCAGAGGCTTGCAATGAACGGTTCCGCAGAGCTGTACGGCGGCTGAGATAAGCTCACTCTTTTTGCAAATGTATGCAAGGGTCGAGGGGTGGCTCTTCGTTCGACAGCATAACCTTCCAAATCACTGCTCAGGAGGCTCCTTCAAGTAAATGACGTCGATTCTGCAAGCAGTGGTGACCAATCTGCCCTTATTCTTTTCTCCATCTTCCGAGCGCAAGCCGAGACATATGTTCGGAATTTGATGGGGGAAGGACGCTCGTTGACGGTTCAATCCGGGCCGTACCAGCGTTGAGCAAGCTGTTCTTGGCTGCGTCAGTCGACCTCCTTAAAATGGTAGTTACAGGACCAGTTCCGTTTAGGACGAACCTCGCGCTTCAGTAAGAACAGTTGAGCTAAGATGCTTATAACGTTGTTGGCTTGAACTGTATTGGGAACGGTGTTTAAACCGTCGCTGGCGGGCGTGTTAACCCGCATTGGGCATGTCTACCATTCTGAAGGCAGCGAATTGACCATTCAAATCATGTCTACGACCAAATCCGAATCATCTCGCGAGATGATTCGTTTCCTTGATTGTCATGAGCCATGAGTTGGCGCTTCAGCGAATTGGCAGTATCATGTTATAGATGCTCCAGCTGGCTGCTGGACGTTGCATGCTGTTGGAGAAAATGCATGCTTCAAGGGGGCGGTCGGAACCATATGATGTACATCGGCATGCTCATGAGAGACAGGGCCCTTACACCTGGTCTACAATCGCCCTTTTCTTCCAACTCCAGCGCGTCACATGGCGCCTGAAGCTAATCACATCAAGTCATCATCATGGCGTGACTCGTGGTTGGCTTAAATATAATAGCTAGAGCTCCGATCCGGGCCCCTCATGTGAAAGTGCCTGTGTTCGTCCCGAATAAAAACCAGTGCCCACGCGCGCGAGCGCGTGGATTTATGCAATCCGATTGCCATGAATCAACCGCGCAAACCTTTACCAATGAATACGCTTGCCGCGTGCAACATGCAGATATACGACAAGGTCGTTCGTACGAGCTATATAGAAATCATCGAGATATACCTATCTGGAATGCTACCTGTGCTTTAAGGCATATATGATGGACGCACTTGTCGTGCACACATCATCCTGCATATGTCAAAGCGTGTATATTCGTTGCTTGCAATATGATGAGTTCGCGCAGTCGCGATTGAATGCGACTGCACCAGCTTCTCTGCAGATTGGCGTCATGTTGTGGGTTTGCTCCGCATCTTTCCGTGATGCATCAGAGCATATAGGCCCAGAAACCACTGAAGGTGCCACATGGAAACCTCGCGATAAGCCTGGCTAAATCTGCTGTCATATTATAAATCTGCTTCCGTATTGGATTCTCTTACTAATAACCAAGTGACCATAAACCTGAATCCTGTCAGGGCAAGGCCCCGGCACAAGCACTGATGTTTGATTGCATGAATTGCACATCCTCACTGTGCTCATTGCAGATGAACAGTGGGCAATTATCAGCGCGGGCTTGAACTGGAGTTCTTTCACATCATGGTAGACTGCATGCATTGAGCGGCGATGTCAAGAGCTAGCAGGCCTGAGGCAAGTGAAAGCAATCTTCAACAGTGTGTTGCGAGGAATTCAACAAGAGCTATAATCATATTGTGCTCCAGCCGATGCCAGCAAACGCCCCCTCTGGTACACTTCTCCTGTATGAAATAAAGCCTAGGTGAGAGTGTGATATTGCTGGCATTTTGAAAAGCATCTAATGTTGTGGCAGGCTCAGGCCAAGGTCTTCTTGGTGCAGCTCAAAAGTGAACATCAGACGAAAAGCGTACCTTCCTGCTCTCCTGCAGCAGAGGATACGTGCATTCCTCTTCAGATGGGGTCAAGGCTTGTACAGGGCAACTCGTTGAATTCTCTGCTTCGAGGTTCTGCGTCCAATTACTACCTTAGGTTTGAATCGTGGCACATACTACCAATGCTCCAGGAGTAGGAGCAGCCTCCTCAAACATGATCAGCAAGAGAACAAAATGCCCAGGTTATGTACTGCCTCTGCGCTCTAGGAAGGGACCCAAAAATGGGGTTCAGCACCGGTTCCAAATGATCTGAAAGGTGAGAGGAAGATTTATCAATTATGTCAGTGCATTACACAGTAAAATATCCTTTCCATGGTCACCTTCCGCTATAGCTGCCGGTCTTAGCAGAATAAGGACTGAACCATTAGGCATATAGCAGACCTTACATTAATGAATGAAGGGCTCTATTGCAGTGGGGCTAGGATTTGAGTGAGAACAAATATCTTTGCACTATCAGCTGGACACTAGCAGGTAACAAACGCCGGATAACTCCTGGACAAAAGCATCCAGCCCCAAGAAGTGATAACTGGAACCGCTTGCACCCAGCACACGCGGTTTTTACGAGAGGGCATCCTAGTTCAAAAACACCTGATGAAAGGAAGACAGTGGCCAAGCACCACACTAAGCTGCGGTGTGGCTCACCGAGCCTTTTGCCGGGAAAGGATTAGCTAGAAGCCTCTTGCTTCCGAGCAGCCTCCAGCATGAACAGTTTTTCTCAGCGCAATAGGTTTTGCAAGTGCAGCCTTTCACTTCCAAGCATGACGTGTAGAGAAGGTGATTCATCAGGTGTTCAAGTGCAGTTGCAGAAAGGCAGTCAAAATCTGCTATTTTGTCAAAGCTGCTTGCTTCCCTAGTTAGCTATACAAGCAAAAGCAAACAAGCCCCGACTGACTAAAAGTTTGCACCTGGTTCAGAAGGCATTGAGCACCCTAAGCAGCATCCGGATTTTAAGGGTTTGAAAAGTCATAATGCGCTCCCATTCATTGGCCACCTACTGATCACCCCAGAAGTCTGGACTTGAAGCATCTATCTGTCTGATTCCAACTGTTGACAATGTGAAACGCAACTGGTCTGCAGATGATCTCAGGTTTCTTGCAACACAACAGTGCAGTCACTTAAAGTGACTGCATTGTTCATAAGCACTATTGCACTATCATAAGCACTACCACTGAGCCATCTAGATGATCCTGACCTGCTCTCAGCTGGTGCCCTCCTTGATCGTCTCCATCTCCAAAAAAGTGGGTGGTCCTTGCAGGCCCGCGTCGGCCATGCTCTCGCGGGTCTTGGGGTGGACCCTAAATTTGTGGAGCGCCTCTAAGCCATGATTGCGACCTTGTTAGGCTCCTCCGCAACCTTGAAGATTCGGTAGGACGTGATGCCATTTTCCTTGCGCCAGCTGTCAACAGGTTCCGAAGTGAAGACCTCCACAAACTTGTCCACGTTGGCCACATTGTAATAAGCAAAGCCAGTCGCCATTGCAGAGATTCTTGATGGTGATCGATTGCCAACTGGAAACAAAGGGCGATTGCTGCTTGAAAGACCGTGTGTTGCCTGCAAACGGGTCAAAAAGCAAGGTCTTCCTATGCGCTCCAACTTGACGAGAGAGACCATTTTGGGACTAAAATTTGCAGGTACTCTGGGACACAAGTTCTTCAACTTCAAGTGGAAGTCTGAAGAGAGGTACCTATCATCTGAACAAACGCATACCTATCGTAGTGGAAAGCAGTCTTCGTGAGCCCTGAACTTCCGGAATCTGAAGGCCTTAAAAATTATCATCATTTCTAGGTATTATCTATATTATCTCACACATCAACACATTACACATTATGCATCCGTTTGTGCACATGGTTTCGCAAGCAATTGCATTTAATGCGGTGCGCACAAGCCTTAAAGTTCGGACCACCGAGCAGGGCTCACTTACTTCAATGATTGTCTCGTTAACTTAGCAAAAGTACTAACACTGAAAACACAAAAAAATCCTAACCCACAAAATCAGTCCGGCAACGCAGCTTGCACTAAGAGCAGCTTGCACTAAAATAAGCACCCGGGGGACGGGTGGGGTTAGTTTGGGGGTTAGGGTGGTTGCGGATGCGAAGCGCGTGATTTGTTTGGTTAGGTGTTTTAGTTTGGATGCCCGGGAGTGATGTATCTTGAATCTTTCTCAAGCACTTTCAAATGGTAACTCCCATTTCACTTAGGTAAAAGCTATCAGAGGCGCCCGGGAGATGGGTAGGGTTGGCATGGTGGTTAGGGTGGGTGTGGGTGCAGAGCGGGTGATTTTGTCGGTTAGGATTTTTAGTCTGTTTGCCCGGGTAGCTAGGATCTTAATCAAGTGAAATGGGAGTTACCAGTACCAGTACCAGTGTCACCCCCGTATTCTTTGAAGCAGCTCAAGCCTCAGATGCGGCCGGCGATCTATTTGAGCCGTTCGATGAAAGAAAAGAGCCCTTCATCCGCCGCGAATCCGCGACAGTACTATTTCAAGTTGTCGCCTGGGATTTGCCAAGTGTCAGCAGCTGCTTAGCTCGATCCTGTGCGCGGCAAGCTGCTGACGCAGACTCGGTCGTTCGTCTGGGCCACTTCTCACCTTATATTTCGGGACTCCGACGCTAACCGAGCACTCTGACGGTTCCACCGCGAGACGGACCCCCGAGTAAGGAACATTTTACTGTTAGATAAATTAAAGACGAAGACAGTGCGCCCTCAAGGGCGGGGCCTCGCCCCTCGGTTTGCTTCATTGCCCCGTGCACAAGTTGTACTATCCCGGGCTAGCCGGCGCGGTTTTAGGGTGGTGTGTATACGCGACACCGTATAGCTGGAGGACTGCTGCCACTGGTAAGGGTCCACGTGGCATGGCTGCCACATTGAAAAGGGAAGTTGGGGCCAGGTGGGGCAGTCACGGCGGCAAGTCATCATACCCAATTGCCTGATCTTATCGTTGTGCAATTCCAAACCTTAGTCACCTCTTGTCCTCGTGTTCTTTGTCCCGCGCAGACTTTATCGTGCAATGCAGCTTAACTTCTGTGACTTTTCAATTGCTGTGTTGGCGCTGTGATCTTCCAAACGATACAGCTTTTTGAAAGTCAGAGACTTGTCATCCAGGGATCCACCATGTGGCCATTCATTGTGGCCTTTTGCTGCATTGCGCTTAGCTCAGTTGTTGTGGTATCGCGCCGGCGGCTTGCTCTTGATCACCACGATGACAGGAGGCGTGCCATGCTGCCCTTCAAGAAGGATGCAGAGTATTATGTGAGTTGACCTGCGAGGACTTTATCATTGAAGCTTATGGCCTGTATGGACCTGGTTGGAAGCTTCCAGCCATTGTCGCATGCTTCAAGGCTCTGCAAGTTACGCTCTCTGCATGAAGGTATATCCTTTTGAGTGTTGTATTTTTGTGAGTGCTGCAGCTAAAGGCGTCAGATTGGTGTGCTTGCAGCTGCGGAAGGGCGTGAGAGTTACAGAGGTGAGACCCTGACGGATGGTGCGAAGACCTTCAAACATCTTTGTTGAATTGCCTTGAGATCCTCAACATTCCATGCTGCTTGATGTTTCCTACAGATGCGCATGCCAGGTGGAAGCTTTGACCGAGTGTTGTCTATTGCAAACCAAATGTCTTGCTTCCTGGCAGAAATTCTTCTTCAACTCGCGTGGCATTGAACAATTTACCAAAGAGTGGGTCCCGGCAAATGGAGAAGCGTCCGCCGTTGTGTGCTACTGCCATGGATATGGCGATCAGTGCAACTATTTCTTTGACGGTGAGGTCTCCAACAGGTGCAAGTTATTTCAGACACATTATGTCCCTTGCTTGTATACCGCATCGTTTTTCCGAGCGCTGTCATATCCGCTCGACAGGCGTTAGGTCCAAGCCGCTGTAGCATTGCACTCTGTTTTGAAGTTTATATTATTGAGAGCACTCTGTCCTGAAGTCTCTTCTTTGCTGACCACAGCGACGGCAGTGGAGCTGGCTCAGGCAGGCTACGCAGTGGTGGGAGTGGACTATGAGGTAAGGGGACTTTTTGAGAAAGCCGAGCTGGCGCTGATGTCATTCGGTTCCTCTCTTTGCCAAACCTACTTTTTTGGGTCACATATGGCATGTGCATGATAAACATGCCTTCGAGGAGATACACTACAATGACAAGCGTCTAGACATCAAAAATGGCATTAACTTTGCAGACGAGAGTGTTCCTGTACCTTTTTGCAGGGACACGGGCAATCACAGGGCCTCCACTGCTATATCCCTAAATTCTCTGTCATTGTCGAGGACACCAGGGAGTACTTCCAGAGTGTCAGGGGTAAGGTCACAGCCATCAAGCTCCCTTCTCTTCCACCGCCAAGCCCCCTTGTCTGGCATGTGCACGTTTATCACAATCATTGGCCCTGTTGAACTGGCACAGCTTGCCACCTGTTGATGTAAGACTGCAATGCAAGAAAATGAGCTATCTTGTGGTCAAACGGGGACCTCTTCAGCGATAAAGCAGCACTGCCCGTCACTGCTTCTTCCAAACACTGCACATTTGTGTCGATCATTGGACGATTAGCTGAAACGCTCCAAGTATCCATGTGTGCAGCACGGCCAGAGTTTGCAGGCAAGCCAGGCTTCTTGTATGGAGAAAGCATGGGTGGTGCGGTTGCCATCAACGTTAGCCGCGCTGAACAGGGCAAGTGGGATGGCATGATTCTGGTGGCGCCCATGTGCAAGGTGAGCAGGCCGCCTGATCAATGAATTCTCTGAAGTCTCTTTTCAAGAAGCATACATCAGAAGGGTGCGAATGCACTCGGCATTCACACCAATTCGCAAACGGCAGGTTGTTTTTGCATCACTTGCTGCATATAGACTCATCCAGCAGGTTTTGATTCTGCTTGCTCGTCATTGCGCTGATTCGCCTGTATTGTGACCTCCTGTGCAGATTGCGGACAAGATCAGGCCCCCCTGGATCATTCAGGAACTTTTGAGGCGAACAGCATTCCTTGTCCCAACACTTCCCATTGTCCCCGCTGAAGACATTGCTGAGAACGCGTTCAAACTTCCTGAGAAGAGAGCAGAGGTGGGGCACCTCACAAACATCCTCTGGTGCTTGTTCTCCTGGTGGAACATTTGATTGCAGGGCTTGTCTGGCTTTTGTTCGCTTGTTGAAATGACCAGTATCTGTTTTGCCACATGAATCGCCCAGTCCTCATAAGGCTCACCTGTGCTGATGCGCGTCTGTGGCCTGCCGCGCAGGGGAAAGCAAATCCGACAGCGTTCCTGCACAAGCCGCGGCTGGGCACGGCGGTGCAGCTGCTTTTAGTTTCGGAAGACATTGAGAAGCATCTAGACGAGGTGAGTAGAACCTGCCACGCCTTTCGCGCTATCATCCTCAAGATTGCACCAAGGCGAACGTTGTTGAGGAAATGCAGAAGTCTTTGCAGTGGTCGCTCTGTTATCGGAATTTCGAAACTAGAATACCACCCCGCTCACTCCGACTGCTCAATGGTCTGGATCATAAACAGGCTTTGTCGTCTCCCCTCTTGAGCAGGTCACGACCCCCTTCTTGCTTATGCACGGTGCTGCGGACCTTGTCACGGATCCCGAGGGTGAGTATAAACATATGTAGCGGATGAATGCCTCTAAGCGTCTTTCGAGCTTCTGTCCAGCACCATCTTGAAAGCAGCCTACAAAAGTGTGGTTGTCCTAGATCTCACTTGCCCCCGTTGGTGGTCAAGCTCGTATTCCGCTGGAGGTCGTCTGTTAATATATCATGTCTGAATTGGACCCTTCCGTCCATGCAGTGAGCAAGGCGCTCTATGAGAGGTCCAGCAGTAAGGACAAGACATTCAAGCTGTACGAGGGGATGTGGCACGCATTGACGGAAGGGGAGCCTTCAGAGAACGTCGCGATTGTCATGCGCGATATCATCACGTGGCTCAGCGAAAGAAGCGGGAAGAAGGCTGCAAACCTATCTACAACAGGGAGTGAGGTCAGTGACACCGAGTCCGCTGTCATTGACAGCATCTAAAGCCCAAAGTTGCAATGGTTGCTAACTACAGTAGGAGAAGTTTCAATCGGAGCATTGTCTTCAAGCAATTGGTAGGGGCAGTTTCAGTTCGCACGGCTATCCACAGTAGCTTTTAGGTCACCTTGGAGAGCCAGGAGTATGGTATTTCTTGACCCTTCTTATTGTACAGCTTGAGAGACACAAGTCGCAAGTAACTTCGATCTTGATTGAAACTCGATTGAAGGTTTTTGGATGTTGGTTAGCAGCCTGCATAGATGCCCGTAAGTGATGCAGGTGTAGAAACTCTTTTGGTCACAAGGTCAGTTCTGTAGCTAGGCTAGGATAGGAAAGCCGCAACCAGGAGGTTAGTTTGGATGTCGCTGACACATTCAAGTGACGATACACAACGATAACGGTCAACATTCTGAGATGGTGATGACTAATGGAAGTGACAATCTTGAGGCAACTGATCGTGACGTCCTTGCTTTGGGAAGCATACCCGAAACTTCTTTGTTTGTTATCAATGGTGTAATCTGTGCACTTTGTGGGCCGTCCGGAAGATGGTTCTGAGACCGGGTATTTGCACAAACAACATATAGTTGCGGTCCGTGTTAGTCTGGACACATTGCAATGTACGACTGCGACCTATATGAGCCGGTCCGTGCACAGTGCTCGTGTGTTCATTCAGCCGCTGCAATTAGCGGCCTAGCTGCATATATGCGCAGCGCTAGGCGCATGGTGCACATGTGCCATTAAGACATGAATGCACATAGAGACGCCGCAACGACACTGAGCGAGTCAGTGCCATGTGGTGGAATTGCGCAAGCACAGGTGCACTTGAAGCATGTGCATGTATGTGCCGCTGTGTTCGAACCCATATCAAAATCATGCAAATCATTTTGCACGATCGACTCTTGTGCAAAATGGTTTGCATAATCTGACGCGTTCGGATCTAATTTGATCGAGACGATCTTGTTCAACATGAACATAGCCGCCCGGCCACATTGGACAGCGTTTTGAAGCGCTCAGCTGGTGGCCGCCGGGGCCCTTCAGCCAATAATTTGATATGCTGTACGAATACTAACTCTAACCCGGAGTGCAAAGCTACCATAGTTCGATACTGGATAGCCATACGTGAGCTTCGATCTAGCAACATGTCAACTAATATTTGGACACTATCTAAGCAATTCGATCGTTACCAGCGAAACACTTGACATACTAATTAAAGCACCCGCGCTCATAATGCATACACTGCATGATTTCCTCGACAAACTGCCACAACGTGCATCTTAAGTTCTGCCGCGCTGTCGGAACGACATACATCCGGGGACAAACGCTGTAGCTCGGCCGTTAAACAATAGATCAGTCAAAATCGTTACATCAACAAACCAAGCATGTTGCGGGCAGCCTTTGGCAACGACCTTCATCGAGACATCGACTCAAACGCGCGGTTTGCTTGATACTTTGTCAGCTACTAATCTTTCAAAAGTCATCATCACTGTCGGCAACCACTTCCTGTGACTCGACCTCCTCTTCCGCAAACGCAGATTCCTCCGAGCAGCTGCTGTCGGAGACAGCCTTCGCTTTCTTGGAAACAGCCCGTTCTTTCGGTCGCGCCTGAGACCGCTTCTTCGTTGTGCCCGCCTTGGGCGGCTGCCCCGACAGCCCTCCCGTTAGACCCGCTGCAAGCTGCGCCTTCCCTTGCTGCGCTGCTCCGATCTTCGTCGCTGCGCCCGCTGGTCCGCTTGGCGAAGACTTTTTGATGTTGGGGTGCAAGGAAGAGAGGACCTTGCCGCGTCCTGCGGTTGGTGCTCCTACTGTCCTGGGGAGTCCGGGGGTGGTGGGCTTGACACCTGGCTTTGATGGCAGAGGGCTTCTCCATGCGAGGCCTGGCGGCTTGGTCGGCAACCGCGTGCTGCCAGCCTTGTTCGCCTCCGATCTCTGGGCCGCGCCACTGGCCCCTGCTGCGAGCGGACGCCCCGGCGCCTTGCTCTCCACGGGTTTCAGCTTGCCGTCGATTTGGCATGAGAAGACGAAGGACACCTGCAAGTCCGAATTGAAAAGTCAGGCCTACCAAGAGGCCGAGGATGGAGAGAAAGATATCGCTTCACCGCTTAGCGAAATACGTCATCTGAAGAGGCAGGGAATACCAGAAGTTGCCCAAAGCTCGCCAAGAGAGTTTGTCAGGCACGGGCACTCACGTCATCCCCAGCCACGCTCTGCATCACCCGATCTGGCACCGTAGAGGGGGACGCATGATGAGCCCAGCTCTTCAGGTCCTCCTCTGCAGGCGTGCCGACCTGTCGAGCAGAGGAAGATGGATGGAGTAAGACGGCGTTTTTTAGACCAGTTTTCTGATGGCTATGCGGACGATCAATTTACCAGTTGTTTGAAAGCCTGTTCGAATGCAAAGCGCAAGGATCTGGGCGCGGCCTCTAAGTCGACAGGAGGCACACGCAATGCCTCAATCGTGATGCTCATTGTTGCCTCTCAACTCTTCACCTGGCGCTCCCAGGGCTTCAAAATGTCTCGACATCCGGCCGCCGCTGCGAAGCCCCCGATGTCCTCTGCTGTGCTTGGCGCACCCTCGGCGGCTGCTGGCGGCTCTTGCTCGGTGCAAGCTTCGCCAGCTTGGCAGCGCCCGCAGTTGAGGGAGTCGTGCGTGTCGGAGCTACAGGAAGAGAACCACAAGGGAAGAGTGTCATCAGATGCTCGTGGACGCGTCAAAGGTCGGTGGGAACATCACGTTTCAGAAAAAAGAGTAACTGGTTATAGCTCGCTCCTGAACGATCACGAGTAGAGCCTCACCTGGACTGCTCCTGGAACTTGAACAGGTCACGAAGTTCTTCCGACGAGATAGCGTTCATCTGCAAGTGCGAAGGAACCCGTATCAGCAGCTGGTCTCGGGGCGAACTATACAATGTTGTCTGACTCAGCCTAGTCTTAATGGCCTTCAAGGCTTTCTGCTTAGGAAGATGCAAAAGCAGCTTCGCTGGGACCCGCCGCGATTGAACGCCATCCTAAGCTCGGACGATCTCGCAGCGCTGTGGGTTACCTGCACCCGGTCGTCGTCCTTCTTGGTGTCCACCACCTGCTGCAAGCCTTCCTTGGACATCTGCCGCTGGTACACCTGAACGCACACGACGCGCCTGGTCAACCGTCGGCTCGCGGCCAGCGGATCAACTTGATCATATCCTTGCACAAAAGGTCCGGTGAGGTAGCTGAAAGCTTCGCGGCTGAAGGAATAGGGATAGAAAGCACTCGGCTGTCAAGTGTCGAGACTGGGCCGAAGAACGCACCTTCTCCTCGATTGTGCCCGTTGCTAGGAACCTGTAGATGAACACCCGCTTCTTCTGTCCATCACGCCACACGCGAGCAGCTGCCCCCAAAAGAGATTCGTCAGTGTGTGCGGAGCATCGACCAGATAATCAGGGGACTAAGCGGAGCTTTCTCCCTCATGTTTCTCAAGGCACAGATGATTGCTCAATCGGATGCAAACCTCGCGTGCCTGCACGAAGTCAGAAGCAGGGTCTCACCAGCCTGCTTGTCGTTGGCTGGATTCCAGTCCGGGTCAAAGAGCACCAGCCGGTTGCCCCCAATCAGATTCAGGCCACACCCACCGGCCTTGCTGCTCAGCAGGAATGCGAACTCGTCCTGCCACAGAAAACTTACGGTTCGAGAGCCTGGCAAAGAACTTCAGGGTACGCCAAATCATGCGCCGCTTATTGTTTCAATAGCCGCTTACGAAGCTGGGAGAAGCAATGGATCTTACTGCCCAGCTTCATCGCGCGGTGTGAAACTTCAGAGAGCAGCGGCTGCATGGCTCCACATCAGCAGCAACAATGCAACGCGCGGGGCAGTGTCTCATTACGGGCTGCCCGGATTGCCCGCTCTCACCGGGACTGGATCGTTGAACTTTTGGACGAGCTTCTGTCGTTTGCCAACGGACGTCGTGCCATCGAGCCGGACAAACGGGTAGTTCCGTTCGCGGCAGATTTGAGCGAAGAGGTCGAGGGTCTGCAGAGAAATGTGTGAAATAGTTACTGCTAATGGTGCCACTTGCGTTTTTGACTTCCGAGCATCAGCAAACACGTGTACCCCTCAAGGACCACTGAAACCTCAGATGTGACGTCGCCACGCGCCACGTCGCCACGCGCGGACCTCCGAGCAAGCGGCTCCTACAGCATAGGCCTCACCTGCGTGTAGTTGGAGACGAGTACGATCCTGTCGTCGGTATTCCGCCGGAGGTGCGAGAGGAGGCGAGCGAGCACGCACATCTTCCCGGACAGCTCCACCCAGCTGCCGTCGCCACCCGTCCACTGCCCGCTCCTGCAACGGGGAAGCACGCTCAGGGTAACCAACTAGAGGTGGACAGCCTGTTGAGATCTGACATGGCTCAGACGAGGCCCAAGCGAATTTGAACACACCAACGAATGCGAAGGTAAAAGTGGCTTCAAGGAGATGTGTAACGTAGGACGTGAAGACTCGCCTTCCAGAGAACATGGCCGGTGGGAAGAACTTGACGCAGTCCTCGAAGCCCGCTGCTTCCGACCCGCCAGCCTTCACCGTGTCGTAGATCAGCTGCAGAAAGGGAGAATCGACACGAAGCTCAACCAGTGCACAGCTTTTCATTCGCTACTGACAGACAGCTCAGCAAGCAGCGCAACTGATTCAGATTCGCGAGGCAATAGATTCCATGGAAGAGCTCAATGTTGATAACTGCTCACCTTCGGATGGTTGCAGAGCTTCTTCATTGCGGTGATAGACGAGAGTACTTGCAGCTTCTTCGTGTCGTCCTCCATCAGCTTCTTGACCTGAAAGAAAGAAAAACAGCGTTTTGCGATTGTAATGCTGTCTGGCGGTTTAAATCTACACAGATCGCGCTCCTTCGCAAACGCGAAAGCAAGAAGGAATGCAGTGAATGAGAGGCTCAGCTACATACACCTATGAAGGACGCCAGCCAAGTCGGGGACGCAAGTCTCTTAGGGCGTGGCTCACATTCTTGGAATGGATGAAGTGCTTGTACAGTTGCACCTGCAGGTCGCTCATCCGGCAGCATACGATCTCAACGATCTGCGACAAACTGCACTCTGTCAATCACTCCGGCGAACGAAAAATGCACTCGGCATCTCCCAGAGACATCCAGAACTGCGTTCGACATGTGGATCTTTGGAATATGGACTTCCAACCATGAGCATCACTACATGTACAATGCCCAAGAGGGTCCCAGACATCTGGCAAGTGCCCACAGTAGAAGTCCTGCTTGTGCTCCTGGACAAAGCTTAACATGCTGAAAAGAGTTTAGACGCGCACATGTGACCGAGTGATGGCGGCACTCACCTTCGGGGGCAGATGATTTGACAGCAGAGCGTTTGTCCGTCTGAGAATGAACTGTCGAGTAAGACCGAGACAGTCTGTTAGTAACTCGGCTTGAAATGTTGAAGCGAACCACTTCCAGATAGACGTTCCCTCGAAGCGCGTACTGATTACGCTTCATGAAAATGAGAAAATACGAGACGCCTTACCTGATTGACCTTCTCACTCAATTCAGCCGATCTGTCTGCGGAAAGAGCCCTCTGCGCGTCGCTAGCGTCCGGTTCGCGTCCGATCAGGATCGGATTCTGCATTCGAACACCCGACAAGGAATCAGCATGCGGCAAAGGGATCACGAAGAATATGTGATTCGAAAACGGACCAAATACAGCCAGATCTAAGCAGCGGCAGAGGCCTGCAACCCTCCTACAGGCATATGACTTGATTCTTACCTCGTAGTGGCGCCTGAACGAGGAGGCTATTCCAAGTATGCTGCACAAGACAAATGTTGATGTTATCAACTCAAGCTGGACGTGCAGACAATGTCTTTGCAAGTTGCTGGAATAAACATCACGCATCCAGAAGAGGATCCAGCAGATCTTTGTGCCAATAGCGTTTGACTATTGCGCAGAACGCACCCTGGATTAGTGAAGTTGACCATTGCGAAGAACTCCTCCAGATCATTCTGCACGGGGAAAGTCACAGGAGTCAGATATCAAACGTTGCTTCATGTATACGTATTGGGATGTTGACCTTTCTATCTTGAAGGGAATTGAAAGGACATGTGCATTGCAGAAGCCAGCTACTGCACAAGCGAAGTGCTCAAATTGCTCGTTCTTGTTTCACATTACCTGCATGGGTGTCCCAGAGAGAAGCACTCGCCGCCGACATGGGAGCGAATCCAGAGCCTGCGTGGGAGAAAGGACCTCGTCACATTGACGGAAGAAACTCTTCGATTGCAGCGGATTCTCTTAGAGCTCCATAGCAAAGCTTTCAGCACGATCAGCATCAAGACAGTGAGTGTCATTCGCTAAGCAGTGTCATGGAGACTGGCGAAGGCTATATGCAGCGAGATTCCTCACCTGGTTCGTGAGAGTTTCCTCACCTGGTTCGTGAGAGTTTTGTCATTCTTCAGTCTGTGCGCTTCGTCGCAGAGCAGGAGGTCGCAACTTCCTTTCTTCTTGAACTTGTCGGCGTGCAACCGGAATGTCTCGTAGGAGATGATGAGGACCTGTCGACGTGACAGGTCGTCAGAGAGCCACTTCCTGAGCACTCAATGAGGAGGCGCTTGAGAGAGACACGTGTCCAGACAAGGCATTTGGAGCCACAAAAAGGACGCATCGATTCCACTACCAGAGCTGATTGCTTACGTCCGGGTGTCTCCGCGGGGCCAAGAAGGAAGCAATGCCCTGAAGCACGTCAGACCTCGTTGACTCGCAGAGGGCCAGGACATCCACTCGACCTGCGAACAAGATCACAAGCCCTTTTGGCGCGACGCAAAAGTGCACCCCAGTGATGAATGTCAGCGCCTAAGAACTCTCACTCTTGAGGTTGCAGTCAGAATCTCATAAGCACAATGCGGCGCAATCCGCTCATGACGGCCAGATGCTGATGTTGGCTCCACAAATGAGGGAGACACTTACCAGGGAGCCACTTTGAGAACTCGTTTTCCCAATTTCCCACCAGGCTTGTCGGAGTAACAATTACAATCCGCTTGGCCAGAGGAGAACCATCAAAGCCTTGCCGCAGGAGTGTCCACACAAGAGTGATGCTTTGCAGAGTTTTTCCAAGTCCCTGCACGTACAGGTTGCGATGTGATCTATCGTCCTTTATGATGAACCTAATAAATGGACGTTCTGCGAAGTTTGTACATGAAGACAGAGTAGCCTTATCACGTAGGCAGCCACAAAGAAGAAATTGCACCATTTGGGATAACAATATCACATGCTCCAATCTTAAAAAAGTCTCTTCCGCAAGTGCTTACCATATCGTCAGCCAAAATGCACCCAAAACATCCTTCGTCCTTTGGCTTGTTGTCATCCTCTACCATCCCGTCCTCCATGTTCTTTTTCTTGCTGAAGTCCCTCAGACCACCAATACATTCAAACATGAACTGCACCCCTTCCCTGCAGAAACCACGGCAGCATTACAGAGACTGTTTTGACAGATACCTTGAAGTGGGCGCCAGATCTCAAAGCGTGAAGACTGCACTCTGCCTAATGTTTGGTAGTTCCTTAAAGGTCCAGATTGGAAGGAAAACCAACTTGGGTCCTGTCATTATGAATTTGCACGAAGTGGACATTCACGCATACTGTCAAAAATCCCCAACATCCAGTGTCGACATAGTTTAAGTGTCGAATCGCAGAGCCTTCTTCTCAGATTGTAACATACTCACCTCTGATGGGCTCTAAGGAACTTGACAAGAACGTTATCTACAAGGATGGGCTTGGATGACTCGGTGACCTTCTCGTCTCCTGGTTCGGGTTGCCAGAGAACAAGAGGCTCTACCCCAGGAGGCAGACTCTCTTCTTCGTTCTGCTCCGTTATGGTCTCTTCGGGCTCAGGCAGGACCGTCGCTTGACGAGGAGAACCCCAGGGTACAAATTGATGCCTTGAATGCAACCGCCTCATAAGCTCCTTGCTCATGCCAGTGCCACCAGTTAGGGGGTTTTTGTATGCTCGTCTGATCACAGCAGCGCCGTCTTGGACTGTCAGCAAGCCTCCACCGAGCAGAGGAGTTCGTTGAACCTGAATGTCACCCCTGATAGAATGGAAGATTCACGGATCAAAAGGCTGACTCCCTTTTGCTGAGTCCTCTTTTTATGCTTAGAGCACTTTTGCATTGGCACCATGAGCACCAGACATTGAAAGCATGCAGTGCAGTTGCTTATTTAAAGAGCTTCAGCAGACTGTCCAACGAGGAAGCATACAGCTTGACCAACAGGACAAAGCTATTCTGAATAAGAATGCTGTGAATTCAAGGCTTGGAGAATACTGCTCAAGAAAGAAGTGACCACTATAGAAGCACCTTTGAATTCTGGCCAAATCTTTGAGGAGCTTACTTGAGGATGGCCGCCACATTTTGTCGCTTTGCGTCTCCCACTGGGCTGACTGCCGGGCCTCCTGCTTTGCCAGCCTTTGGTTCATCACAGTTCCCAGCTTGCATGTCCTCGAGAAGCTCTGCAAATTCGTCGTCCCTGATCAACCTATGGCAGCCTTCGCCTGGCGGGTCTTTTTCCCAGCTTTTACAGAGGTAGCCAGCATCCGTATTCTCACTTTCATCCACTCTTTGAAGAACCTTCAGTCCACATGCTCTGCACAAAACACGTGGCGCCATCTTTTTGCCGTTACGCTCAATCAGGATGACCCGTTTTCCACGCCCTGTAACCCCCAGCTTTGCTACCTTCTTCCTCTTTTCGTCACGGCGTCACCTTGCCTTTACCTTCCTGCGTCTGGAGGCTTGAAGTTGAGGCGTTCACAAACCTGTCGAGATCCTCTGGATCTGTCCCTCTGGACCTCAGATCAGTCACTGCACTGAGTCTGTGTGCAGTGTGACTTTGTGAGACTCAGTGTTCCTGCATGCCTTGTGTTGCTCTTGAATTTATAATTGTAGTGAGCCGATATTTCGGCGGGAGCAATGCTCCGCTCCCCCCCGGTTCCAGAACCGACGGGAAGCTAGTACTTGCCGGGGCAATGGATAAGCAAGAAGGCAACCTTCACATTGCGGCCGGTCGACATGCAATAAAAGGGGTGGGGCCCCGGTCGGAGCCTCCGGGGTTGGCTCCGGCACCTGAGGTGCTCAGGAAACCCTAAAAGCAAAGAAAAGACGTGCAAGTTCATCATGCGCACGAATGGATAAGCGCGCCGCGCGCGCGCTGTTGAGCCTGCCGCCGCCCGGCCTTGCCAGCGGCTGCCTTGAACTTTGGAGTTGAAGTTGAACGTCTTTGCTCCGGGTAGTGTCGATTGTTCATCAATGTCATTGTTCAGCCATTGAAGGCGCTGGGTACTGCAGTCAACACGTCTGGATGCAGTAGGTCTGGGGGGTGCCGAAGCAGAGATTCAATGCCTCGACCCCACCACACAGCTCAGAGCCAGGAAGTGCCTGCTCAAAGAAGGCGGGATGCGTCGTTTCTTTGTCATCGGGGTATGGAGCTAGCGAGCGGGCAGACAAGGGCCCGTTGGTTTTGATCTCTGGTGGAGTCTCCTGCATCACAATGCAAGGTGGCTCATCTGCCCCGTATGGAGCCCCTTACGCAGGAGCATCTCAATCGCTGCCGTTCATGACTCCCAGAATTGCCACAGGCCCTGTCGTTCAAAGTGGACCCTTTGATTACGCATCCGGCATGCATGGTGGAGTTGACCAGTTTGGCCACCATCAACAGCTGCAATGGATTGCCAGGCCTGGGTACCACCATCAAAGCCTGGGTTTCTTCCCTCCAATGCCACCACCATGGGGCAACAGACCAAACGTCAGCCCCCAAACCACCACATTGCTACCGCAGCCAGCAAGCACCTATCTGCAGAGCCTAGTGAAACATATCGAAGAGAAACATCCCCCTCATCGGTTGCGCTCGTATGAGCTGAAAGACCAGATTCGTGCCGTGATTTCAAAAGTAGAACAACTAAAAGAAATGTGAGTACCCAAGCTGACGTCCTTCGAGCATATGGTTGTTGGTGGTTGCTTGGCAAGTGGTTGATTCTTTTGACAGAATTAGGAGGGTGTGTTTTCTCCCATTGTCCAGATTGTGTGGCAAAGCGGATTTACCTTTGGTGCAGCAATCCTGATGGACTACTCTTACTCCAATTGTTTGCAGAACACAGAGGATTCAGCAGCTGAGTGGCAACCAGAGTGAAATAGAGGACCATGGAAACAGCACCGAGGAAGCTATGGCACGGCCAACTGGACCATCTGCTCCTGACAGTTCAAAATCTGGCTATGTAGATGCTCCAAGAGATTATCATTTTGAACCTCCTGAGGCAGCCAAGCTTGTTAAACATAAAGGCCTGGAACCGGCTGAAGTCGAGTCATTAGTTGAGTCCGAAAGATTGGAGGAACTTTTCCGTGCGGAAGCAACTGCAAAGGCTTTGAAGGCGTCCATTGAGCAGCTTCTGCGGCAACTGCATCAACTTAGGACAGGGGAAGACGCCAAGGCAGACACAGTAGCATGGAAGGAGTATGAGACCAGGTGAGCACTCAATCCTGTCACAAATACCTGATGAGTTTGAGGACTGACGCTTGGAGGAAGCGTTGTCAGAAAAAGTGTGTCATGCTACTTCGTCCGGCAAGAATTCGACGAGACTATGAGAGAAACATAAAAGCTGTAATCTGTTATATGCCTTCGTGACGTGTTTACCATGATAGTGCTGTGCAACCTTGTGTGATTGTAAGTACTACATTCTGTTGCCTGGGTGGTTAAGAGATTGCATACAGGTAAGTGCTGGATCTTCTCCGTATTGACAGATCTGCAAGGCCTCTGTTCATTCAGGCAAAAGAAGATAAAGCGGTACCGAGTTCGCCGGAAGAAGCATCGGAGGCAGGTGGCCCAGAAGTTGCGAGAAGAAAGGGAGGCCTTCAACAGTGTTGATACTGCAGCTGACGAGTGGCGAGCCCAGCGTCTGGCACAAGACATTGCACGAACCCGGCTGCAGCAAATGGAGAAGGTACGATTATAGTATGACCCTGCGCAGGTTGCTTTTGCAATGTCCCCTCATTGACCAGTTGGTTTCTGCCTTCTTCCCATGTGGGCTTTCTTGCAGAATCTCTAGCTTCTTTACTGAAGCTGTGGCAATATCATCGTTCAATGTGTTCCTGAAAACCAATTTGACCTTGAGTGCATCGCTGGACTTGCTGCATTTGCAGGCTGCCAACGCTGAGGCACAAGAAAAGAAGCGACAGCTTGAGCACGACGTGAACTCCTTATTGCTGCTCGAGCGGCTGCAAAAGTTGCGCGCTCTCCGCATTGCGAAGCTACGGAGACAGGTGCGCTGCCTCCTTACTGGAAGATGCTCCGATCCTACTATTTGACAGCAACGTTGCCGTGTCGTCTATTCTCGAGCTTGACCCACTTCTTCCAATTAACGCAATATAGAAGGAAGCATGTGCCAGTAGCCAGCGCTCTCAGTAATCAAGTTTGCTGGAGTTTCATGCAAGTTATAATGCCCTCCATTTCTCCCTTCAGGGTCATATCTTCCCAGAGGATGACGACGACTTCATGGCCCGCGTGCAACAAAGTGCGAAGCAAGAAGCCAATACAAGCGCAGGGCGCGGGATCACGGAAGAAGGTGCGCAAGACGCAATGGGGCCGAAGCTAGGGGACGACGTAGAGTTAGGGCAAATGGTTTGGTCGGAAGAAGAAACCGCTCAAGCTCACAGCCCAGAACGTACTCGAAGGGACAATGGGGTGACGGGGAGTTCAGACAGCAGCCGGCAATCTGAGCCAGAGCTGCAACACTACTTCCTCAACTCGGCCACGGATATGGGTCGGCTCATCGAAGTAAGTGACAGGCGGACCCATTTTCATATCCAGAGAATTTTGACGTTCTTTTGATGCAGCATCAAGCATTGGGCACATCTTTTGCATGACGTCATTGCAGAGGTCCCCATATGTCATCGAGCCCCGCCCGAAGCTGGCTATCGAAGGATCCATGCGAGATTATAGTTGGTTGAACGGACTCTGTGGGTTGTGTCCTCCGTTCCCAGCAGGAATGCTTGAACCTGAGCAGGCGCCAGGTGGCCGGCCTCGATGTAATGCAGAAGGTCATTTGGAGGTTATTGAGCACACAGATGCTTGACTTGCTTGTTGCTGACAAATTAGCATCCGTGACCTGTAGGTTCGACGTGCGTGGGATACGTTCCTGTCTCCAGATGGCAGGTAAGCTATGAGCCTGAAGGGTATGGATGGGCCTGTGATCCATTTAAGCTTATTGACGGTCTTCCCCTAGGAAGGCAATGAAGTCCTGCAGGTGTACCTTTACGCTTTTCTCCGCATCGGACACGTAAGCTTGGTCTACATCGTTTCGGAGGCGACTCAGGTCCAGGTCAGTCATCATGATGAGCGTTGTTTGCTGACTACGCACACCGTCTGTGCAGTGCCATACCGGGTCACTGGATAGAGCCCCCTGACCCTCCCAGTTCCCTATGGGCGCACTTTCTGGAGAAACGGGCAACCTGAAGTTGCAGTACAAATATATTGGAGGGGGAGGAAAGGGGAATGTCTTGACCAGGCGAAGCAGAGGCTGGAAACGTATCCGTGCTGTATCCTCCTTCGGCTGCTTTGACGCTGATGCCTGCCTTTGCCGATCCATTGAATTCCAATCTCGAACTCAGCAGCGTCCAGCATCTTGAGCTTTGGACGCCCACTAGGCTTTGTGCTATACAACCTGGCATTGAAAAGGGACCCGTTGCATCACCTTCTGTTGCGCAGCCCATCTTAATGGACAATTGCTCTGGCAACCCACTCAAATACGGTATTACATGAGCGGCAAATGCATGGAACAGTAGTCGTTTCCAAGCCTTGCGAGCTCAGACGAGAAACCTCATATTTGGGCAGATTTTGTTTGAATATCGTTTGCAAGGTTTCTCACGGCAAGCAGTGTGCTCCAGATCGTTTGCTGTTCTGAGCTAGCAGAAGTAGAACGGTGTTCGACTCGAGCATCACAGTGGCTCAACATGCGAAATCGTAGCAAGGTAAACGCAATCTTCCAATGTCCTTAATTTAGCCTCAGGCTCGCATCAAAGTCCCCAGGACATCGATGATCCACATTACGGTGCGCAGCTTTAGAATGCCTTTGCCCGGGTTTGGACGTCTGCAATTGAATGCTGATGCATGATCTTGACACGCGTTGATTGGAAGTAGCTAGTAGTACTCATGAAGCGGACTGGGACACAGGTTCGACATGTTATCCGTTCTCAAGTATAGCTTCGCATGCCCCATGTCCGCACAAACCGGATAGCTAGTGACATTATTCTGCATGCGTGTCATCATGACAGTAGTACCATAGCTAGTGCGCCGCAACCATATGATGGTCTCAAAACGTACCGTGACAGACGCGCTGCACTATTCCATATGCACGAGCATGCAGTCCGACACCAACTTGAAGTGCGCAACATCTATGGAGAATCCATTATACTTTGTATAGATTGCGAGTATTACATTTGTTGCGAGATGCACGCCGGAACGCCACCATGTGATAAGTACATGTAACATGACCGGCCCGCCTCGGGGAGGCGCCGGGGGCAGGGCGATCAAACGTCCCATGCAGGCCTAAAATGGTTATAGCAAGTGACCCGAACCATGTTCCAGCAGCTAAACGGCAAATTGCCCGGAATCAAAACCTGGTGGGATTGAACCTCCAGAGGGTCATCTCCGAAGTTTGCTGTCCGGGCAAAGCGCCGTTTAGGAGGACTCGGAGGGCTGGTTTAGGTGGGTTTTACAGCCCAAAAAACATTAACGTTCTTCTAACAGTCTACTTAACCCTCTCCTCATACCAACTGAGCACCGCATCCGTCTCGAGACATAGATCTAAATGATGCAATCGCCACCGTCAACGTTGGACAAATTCTCCTCTGACGATGCGGAACATGGTTTCACAGGTGTCATGGCTGGCGTTTAGTCCCCCGGGGCGGGGGCTTGCCTCTTTTTGATGAAAATCCTAATAATGAATCTATTGAGGTTACTGGCTAAGTGTTGGCGGTATTCGGCGACCCGACCTTCATGCATGGATTTGTAGCGGGCAAACGGGGCACCGGTAGCTCTTTAGGCTGCCCTTGAAGCTACGGTAACAATTGTTATCAAAAAACGGCACGGTGACCCAAACTCAGGGGGACCAAACAGGGGGACCAAACGCCCCGGGTAAGCGGGTACTCGGGTAAAAAGGTCAGCAACTTCGAACGGGCTTCGAACCAAATTCCAGCAGCTAAACGGCTAATTGCCCGGAACCTAAAACTGGTGGGATTGAACCTCCGAGGGTCACCTAAGTTCGAAACCCCGAAGTTTGGTGTCCGGCCAAAGCGCCGTTTAGGAGCCGCGAGGAGCAGAGGGCTGGTTTAGGTACGTGGGTTTTACAACCAAAAAACCATCAACCTTCTTCTAACAGTCTACTTAGCCCTCTCCACCCATAGAGGTAGCAAACTGCAGTTCGGCACTTGAATTACTAAATTACAGCTTGCAACCGTCAGTATGGATTTTGATGGATCTCACAGTTCTCACCCCGATCTCACGCTCAGCTCACAGATCCCTTTGAGCATGGTTGAACTTGAATAGGTAATCCGAAGGTTCCCATTTGATGAGCCAAGGCAATCAACTGAATCAACAATCAACTAATATACTACCGTACCAGCGTTTAATTTCGTCAGTCTGGGTGCCAAATAATCAATTTCTAATATAGGCATCGTGTCAAATCATATGTGCAGTGGCGTCCGGACCTCCGCTTTTCTGAATTTCCTTGGTGGGGCTGGTGGCCGGTTCTCGGAGCTCCATGGCGAAGAGTCGAGGGGGCTGGTGGCCGGTGCGGCCGGTTGATCACTTTCACAGCATTTTAAAAGTCACGTATTTCAAAAAATTCCGCCTATATGTATGTAGTGGACTTCGTATACATATACCTGTCCTCGCCAGCCCCCTGCAAGAATTCAGGCCACACCAACCGACCGGTCTCGAAGAAGATGGTCAAACGGGTTTTGTCAAATGATGACAAGGGCCCAGCCGCATATACATTAGGCTTATTGCAATATACGGTTCTGAATTGGACCCTATTGGGCCTACTCCCAATAGCAAGTGAATTGGCTATGTTTTAAACTATGCTGCAGACCCCATCCTCCTATATGTCTCTAATTTCGACTTATTTTCCGTCGGGGCTTGGGCAACCCCTGGTGGCCGGTGTTTTCTGGGTCGATTTCTGGCCGTACCCCCCTGGTGGCCGGTTTTTTAGCTCGCCTAGATTTATCTAGGGGCGAGCTATAGCGTTCACATCCGGATGTGGGGTCTTCTGGGAAAAAAGTTCGCTGTATGACGCGGTCGCTTTGTGACGGTCAAAACAGAGCGGGATTCCGTACAACGGAATCGCATCAAATCTAGGAGTATTTGAAAATTGCTGTGGGAACCAGACAATTGTACAGTAGATTTGCAAGAAATCGCCTGTCGGATTCCGATTCCTTCGCAAAGCTGTACGGCACAATTGGCCGTCCTCTTTAAATCAAAAGGGCAAACCAACTTCGCAAATTTCCTTAGACGTAACCCGTCAGCCAAATTGCCAGTACAAGGCGTAACCGCAGGGTACAACCCCTTTTTGGCGAGTAATGCGCGTCATACACCGGGTTCTAATCAAGCCAAGTTTGACGTGACCCGGCCTCATGCATTGTCATGTCAGAGTATGATTCGTTCAAGTTAATTCCACCTTAATACTAAATTGGAACACAAATCGTTCGCAGCGTTGTACCGAGCCTTGCCCGGGGTTTCTGTTTGCCCTCCCACCCACCCATGGAGATGAATCTGGGCCGCCCTCCCACCCACCCTCATCGATGCCATATTTCTTATATATTGCGCTCTAAAATGAGGCGAGCTTCAGAATCCGCTTGCGGATTCTTTTCGTCCTAGTTTTTCGGAGGTCCGGACGCACTTGCACAAATGTTTTGACGCGATGCCATACCGTTACGGTTAAAGTTGGTTGATGTGAGAGCCACGCGTCACGCTACCTGCGCTCTCGGGTCTCATATGCTGACAACGGTGCAGTAGGATAGTGACTCAGTTTGTTTTACGAGCACAAGTTGGCACTGACAGCAACATGACGCGTGTCCTTCAAGTTCACGTGAGGGTCCAGGGAGTCTCCCACGTTGGGCCCAGCCAGCTTACAGGCCTCCTCCCGGTTGAACAAGCTGATGAGTGGCCAATCGGCTCTACCGGCCAGCAGAGGGCTGCCGTTTTTGCGAGTCCTATATGGACCTATGGCCCATGGGGTGCCTTTGGCACCAGCTGGGGTCACTCCCCGACCAGTTAGGTCCGCCCGGCTGCCAGCTGTAAGAAATCTTGATGTCAAGCCTGATAGGGTATTCGCACCTGAAAGTTTTTGTCTTTTCTTGTGGCTCGCTTTTCTCGCGAAAACGGCCAGAAATGGCGAGAAAAGACCGCTTATTCGCACTGGCCTATACGCTGGCCGATTCTTGTCTGGCAGGCAGACCGGCGACAATCGGACGGCTCGAAAACATCAGCGGACGGTCACGATGAAAGTCCGGAAGTTACACGCGAATGCCGTCATCCAGTCGGTATGATGCAAAGTGCAGGCTACTGTATCACAGAAGGCAGAAGACAGCTTGTTACTGGGCAATTCAACCAACTCTCGACGCTGCAAACGAGTTGTATGTTCAGTTCCAGGTAGGTGAGCAAATCGCAGCAAACATGAACGCCTTTATGGACTTTCTGAACATGGGTGTTGCTTACATGATGATAATGGTGGCTGCAATACAGGGTGGGGTGAACGTCATAGCAGAGGGCAGGGACTGGTGGGTATTTCCAAAGTCGCACACGGAATGGGAAGTGATAATGGGAAAGGTCTGGAAAGTGTCCCCTGCACTTCTTGATTCTAAGTGGATAGAGTACTATAGAACTTATGCCATACAGCACCTATCTTGACCTAGTCGAGGAGCTTACCCCGTATCTACAGAAAGAGGACACAAAGTTCCGAGACGCGATCCCTGTGAATAAAGCGGTGGCAATGGTTCTCTACAAATGTGCTAAAGGTCACTCCCCAAAAAATGTAGCTGACAAATTTGGGGTAGGCACTACCACTGTCCATGAATACTTTCACCTCATGTGTTCGTCGTTAGCGGATGACCATATTTTCAGAAAGTATGTTCAAGTACCTAGCGGTGATAGGTTGAGAAGAATCATAGGAGAGTTCAAACAGATTACAGGGATTGAGAACATGGCGGGAGCCATTGATGGTTCGCATATCAAGCTATCAAGAAAACCTCCTAATGGGTACGTTCCAGCTGACTACTGGTCCAGGCATGACTTCTTTTCAATCCTACTTCAAGGAGTCTGCGATGCTAACAAATTGTTCTGGGACGTGTGCGTGAAGAGCCCGGGCGGGATCCATGATGCCACCCACTTGAGGGACTCCGAGCTGTGGACAAAGTTGAGGGCGCATGAGATTCTTCAAGAGCCGGTGATCAGCATTGAAGGGAGAGACATCAAACCCTACATTGTTGGGGACAGCGCGTATCCACTAAACTCTTTCCTGCTGAAACCCTTCAACAACAAGTCCACAGGGACTCTCGAACAAAATCTGTTTGACAAGCAGATCAGGAAGGGAAGAGTGAAGATTGAGAATGCCTTTGGGATCTTGAAAAGCAGGTGGCAGATCCTTAAGAACCTAAACATTGGGGTAGAGAAGGCTGCAGATGTGATTGTGGCATGCACTGTGTTGCACAACATCTGCATTCTTGCGGGGCAGCTAGGAGGAGATGATCTGATGGACCCTCATCCTAATGACTTTGGAGGAGGTGCCCCAGGCCTTGCTGTTCAATCAGAATACGCTAGCAAGAAAGAGGGAAAGAGAAGAAGAGACCTTCTGCTAGCTGACTTTATAGAGAGAAACCCTTTGATAGACCTAGAAAACTGAGAGTGAACCGTTAGAACTTTCAATGTGAGATCATAACAATGCTCACGACTTCTGCTCAGATCTGATCAATGTTTGCTAAGTTGCATTAATTGTGATGGTGTGACGTCTGCCCTAAAGCCTCAGCTATAAAGCGGCAATACGACCAGAGAACGAAGCGGAAACTCTGTCGCCTATGCAGCAGCCATGGAATCCCTGGAAGCGCCCTCTTGCAGAAACTTGAGTTCTGTGTTATATGCTGAGTTTCGCTTCCCTT